GTGGCTGCCACGATGTTGGCGGGATGGCGCAAACATCGGGAGTCACGAACAGGAAAAGAAAACACTGTAAAACTTAGATATTCTGGAGCCATGACGATGTTGTTGCCCATCCCGATCCACACACAGCTGCAGACAGGCGAAGGACGGACGCTGCTGTGGGCAGCAGAGCGGGAAGGGCGAAAGGGAAGGGATGGAAGCTTGGCTCTCAGCCGTCGTTCGATCGTAGGACCACTCCCCCTAAGGGGGAAAAACCCCAAAATTCAGTTCAAGTTCCCTATGGTATTCCGTCCCGCGAGTCGCCAATCCCGGGTCGGAAGTCGGCTCGCTCCCTCCCAGCAACTCGGAAAGATAGAGTTTACTGTAAAACAAGGCACTTCGCTGTCCATGCAGGCAGCAAATTTCCACATTCCTTCCGGCGTCACCTCCCTCGCACTTCAGCCCGAGAAGACGTGTAGTTAGGCCAAGGTGCCCCTCACCTTGTGCTCCGAGGGGCGAGGGTGCAGGAAAGAAGGGTTGCAGTCTGTACTCCGTACCGTAGATGCCAGGACATGCCCTGGGATGAAGGGTGGAGGGAGAGTCTTGGCGATAGCAGGGGAAAGCTACGAATACCTACGGGTACGGGTACGGGATACTCAAGGGGTCGGTTGACCTGACTTAGACAACCTTGTCGTCGAGAAGTGAACAATACGCTGACAAGCTGATTAAATACGACACAATGGAGAAGGAGGAAAAGCCACTCCTCACACGAGAGGAGCACAGAGCGCTGACCACGCACGTACCTTGGACCACCACATTTATACATGGAGATACACACTTCCTTCAACCCAAAGGAAGAGAGGGGACGGGTATCCTGGCTCGACAGATCCAGTGGACTGGGAGCTGGGAGGTTTCTGGTCCCGTGCTGGTCCCTTGTGGCTACAGACTGATGGACGGGGGATGGGAGGGCCCTAGTGCGAAAGCTGCTGCACGAGGGGGCCAAAACGGAGAGTAACCCCGTAGTCGAGAATGGCACAATGGGATATCGATATGTACGTACCGCATGCAACGACGACTCCCGGCTGGCAATCAGACAATCAAGCAATCAACCGCGACGCGAGCGGCCCCCAACCTCCAGTGATTAGCACGCTATGGTGTCATAGGGCCAGGGATGAGACGGATCATGGCAGATCCTTTTCTCTTTTTGTGAATGTTTTCTCTTTCACCGTTCGGGAGTATTACATCTGATACTTGACTGTGATTCATGGACATCTGCAGTTGGTATCCCGTCAAAATGTGAGGCATTGAGACAGTTCATTCCCCTGCGTGACCTGAGGGGAATAGATGTGATGGCTTGTCAAGCAAGACATGGGCACCAAGTGATAACAAGGGACCCGGTATGATGCCCAGAGTCCGATACGATACCTACTTTTGCTACGGCAGGCAACTTCAGGGCGAAGGTTCAGAGGATTCTAGTCCCTGTCCAGTGTCTGAAGAGGGATACACAAGCGTGTTTGCAACGTATTGTCTTTGTATTGTGTTACGTGTATTCCTCTACGTACTCTGTAATAGAGAGCATGCACATCGTTCCCTTGTTGGTACATATCCGTACACCGTAATGCTTTGCGCAAGGGCACCATGGGGACGTCTGTCTCCTTGATGTGACGGATCATATCCTTGGGTCCAGGGTATCCGCACTTTAAACTCTTCGAAATGCAGACTTACGTATGTTGCGGAGCCCACCAGGACATCAAGATGAAGCTTGGGATAGGTGCAAAAAAACGAAGAGAAAAAAAAGTCAGCTAGACCAGGCGTGGCCTGGCAAGGCCCCCAAGATTAATTGTTTGGTTGTTTGATTGTTGAGAACATACTTTCCCACGGCCCCTACCTACCTAGCGCAAAGAGAACGTCTTTTTTCCTTAAGCCGAAGGCCACAGGGAAATGTGTGTATCCCGGTTCATGGGTCAGTGGGATGGGCGTCGCCGCATGGGGGTGAAGACGCGAGAAAGGCGCGAGGTGAAGGGCGGATAGTGTGGAAAGGGTAAAGGGAGTGGACTTTTGAGCCTAGAGGGGCGGCCGCCCGGTGGCTTACCTGTCTTCAGCCTTCGGGTAACCGCACGTCTTTCTTTTCGCATGGCGGCACATGCTTTAGGGTGTAAGAGTTATCGTAATGGCATGGGATAGCTTCGAGTTTAGTTGGATAGTTGGAGGGTAAGCTCCACGGATGACACGGCGGGGAGTGCGTAAGTTGCATTCTAATTGTCTTCAAGTGACAAGAGGTCCATTCCAATCTCATGATGCATCAAATCATCAGCCCCCTTTTCTCGCGCGGTTGCCTGTATTCGTGCCATCCGCCCCCCTTAGGCTTCATGAACCTCGGCCAAGGTCAAAGACGTAGGTACTGCGTAAGAAAGAAAGGCTGAGCCAGAGTCAGAGCTAAGAAAGGCAAAAGGCCCCAGTACACGGAGACCAAACAGAACCAAAGCAGGCGTGAAAGCCTCCATTCCGGTGGTTATCGAGTTGGTAATAATGACAGGGCTCGGAATAAGGTTGCAATAGCCAGGACAAGTCGCAATTAACCGCCCAGCGTCAAGTCAGTTGAAAGACAATGCAGCGAATCAGAGGCGCCGGGTGCGTCTCCGTGTACGTACTCTGGAACGGGTACTCGTACCTACGCTATCTAGTAAGTATACAAAGTACATAGCATCCGTAGTCAGCAAGGTAGGCGAAGTACTCCGAAAGAAAAGGCATCCGTACTCCGTACTGGTAAGGTGGCCAGGCCCGGAGAGAAGGTAATATCGCTGAGCCAAGGTGATGGAGCTGGGATTGTCTATGCGCCTATGCACTGAGCAACGCAACAAGCGTAGTGCGGCTAAAGCGAAGTTGGACTGGACCGTTCCGATTACCCCCTTCCAGTTTCCCGTCCCCCCTCGTCCACCTTTGGCTGTGCTGCGTTGGGTAGGGAAGGTGAGATAGGTGAGGGGGCGGGTGAGGCCCGTAGCATATGCTCCTGAGGCTTGACTCTCGAAAGTCTTGGAGCCCTGAGCTCCTGACTACTGCAAGTCAGTCAATGGACACCAGCATGACTAACGCACCCTTGACCGTATCTGTAAAAGCGGGCCCGGAACAAGCGCTGTACCATAAATCCGGATCCACCTTTTGCCTGCCCTGATCATTCTGAATTTCTGATGGACCATTCCAAGGGCAAGAGTGACACTGCATCAAGCCCAGCCTCGTTCTGGTTGGCTCCTGGCTCCTAACTGCCCTTGGGTTCTCCAACTGACATGCTCCTTGTCGCTCTTTGCCATATCACACAACCACACAAACACACGCTCATATTCGCACACACACACACACACACATATTCGTACGGATACATTCTCGCATATTGTCCTATGGATACCGTTACCACCACCACTTGTCATACGCAGCCACACTCAGTCTCCTGCCAGGCGACTGGCTACCGACACACCAATTCCTGCAACTAAACACTAGTGGCTAGAGGTCTGATGGCAGCAGAACACTCGAGAGTCAGGAGTGTCATCTCAACGCCCTGTTTCTCAAACGTGCTCGCTCCATAGACATTGATCCTCCCTTCCACAGCCACTGGGCAGTCTTTCTGCTCGCAGGGAACTCCCAAGACAGACCTGGTTGATTGATAGCCTCTCGTGCCTATCCATTTGCTGCAATTGCTGCTGCAGCTTCGCCATAGCAAGCCTGCCCCCTTTTTTTCTGCTCGCCCACTTTTGCTAGGACGGTGTCGAAACGCTGAGGAGCATGCTTCTAGACCTTTTCTCTTGACTAACAGCAACTAGCTTACCTGCGAATACATGGAGCATCTCAACTTGAGGCAAAACAGCCTGTCGTTGTTCCTAGCCCGTAGGCTGTCGTCGGGCTCCCACCCTCAGAATAGGAAGAAAAAACCGTTGTCGCACCCCTCCATCTCAGCCTTGACTGGCCTCACCGGGCCTCATATTTCATTAATCATGCCTATACGCGGTAAATGCCAACCTTCACATCCACTCTTCCGTCGCGCTCTTCTGCCCGCCGTTGTCTTTACTCGTTCCTCCTGCCTCTTCGCCACACCGTCCTGACTTTTCACGGCCCAGCCGAACATAGGCTTTTGCCAACTCACGCACATACCGAATATTTGCATCATACCGTCGCCGTCCAGTACGCACAAGTCTGTGCTTGCTATTGTCCGTCTCAACTATCAGCATCACACGCGCATTCCGACATGCCTTCAGACACTGGACAGAGCGACCGTCGGGAACTCTGAATTGTCTTTACACTCAGTCAATCGCATTCCCAAACAGCTTGGACCAAAACGGAAATACCTCCGTTCTAGTATTGTGTCAAAGAGACTTTTGGCCATGTGGAGTCACCCACGCCTCTCTTGTTCCATCCCGATCTAGGTCTTGATGGGTGATTAGCATTCGCGTCCTACCCTCGTAAAGCCGTGCCGCGCTGCGCTGAGCTGCGCTGCGGTATACCTCGTAGAGTACTGTTACTACCATCATTTGACCTTGGACTGCGCGCTTCATGCCACGCACAACAGGAGGCATGAGCACTTCCTCCCAGTACCTACATGTGCGCCAGCATCGGCTCCAGTAACAAAACCGCGGGTCACGGCATTGCAATTACACTTAGCTGCAAGTCGTTCCTCCTGGCTGGATGGAAACTAATAAGATTTTACAATCAGTGTGTTTAGGCAAGACATGCGATTCCAAAGACTACGGAAGATACTATGGTGAGTTGACACGTCACACCAACCTCAATCCATCCACGATCATTTGACTGACATAACTTCAGGTACAATGACATTCTTCGTCAGTTTCAGTGCCCTCACAGCAGTTCCAGCAGGAGGATCTCTGTTAGAAAAGGTAGGCTCGGTCGGAGCTTCGGGCTTGTATCTTTCAACAGTTGCTTTGGGCGGCTTCAGCTTCTACATAGCGCGGTCCTTATTGGTTGGGAAGTTTCTTGTTTTCAGATCAAACATCTAGATCTTCAATTATGCGTTCCGATTTTCGTTATAACTCTTCTCTCTTGCTGACTGCTCTCATTGTCTCGGCCTTGGAGAGATCGGACACGTCACACAGCAGTAATCTCGAGACTGTGCCGATCTTCTCCCAAGACAAACTTCAGTGCTCCTAGGTCCGGACCAAAATCTCTGATGGGAGCCAATATGTAAATTTCCTCCATCGCAACCACTAGCCTTTCTGAGCTGTCCTTTGCAACAGAAGTTGCTCCATTTCGGGTCCCAAGAGTCGCATTGGTGACATGAGTAAACCCTAGCTGTGTAAGACTGTATGGGTCCTTCGGCTTTTTGTTATTGCTGGAAATACCATCACTTAATTCTATGCCGTCCGAGCCCTGGCTCGATTTCGGCGTGAACTTGTACTTGTGATAGAATTGTGCCCATACTCTCCGTTTGAAGAGAGGTACCACCATGGGGGCCTGCCCGACGAAAATGGCAATGAAGTCCTCACGAATTGACCACATTGCTCCTGGGCCAAACCCGCCCGTAGGCTTGAGGCACAATTAGTAGCTCCCCGTGAATCCTGGGGGAGTTTGATGACTTACATGAAAGATAAGAACCACTCGAATTGTGGCAGCGACCATGATGAAAACTCCCAAGCTGAAAAGAAAATACACTCCCATTCTGCGCCATATTGAGGCTCGTACAAGACTTATTACCTATTTGATGATTAGGCAGTTGACTTATTTTCGGTCTGCAGATTGGACTAGTGAGCGCTTACCGGTATTGGAATAGCGATTACACACATATCTGTGGTGACGTTCATCACAAAAATACTGTAGAAGTAAATTTTGTTTTGTGGTACGCAATTCTCTTTGGAAATTTTGTAAGCTGACGCTTCTGATTAAAATGGCTCTCAGGCTTACGTACCTCCTGGATCTGGGCGGACCTGCCACATGAGGTAGAGAGGTCGACATGTCAGGGCAATGATCAGAGCCATCGCAACGGCTGTGGCACCAACTAGACCCATGACCGGGAATATGAACTTGTCTACCCATTGTCCCGCAACCAATCTTCGGTAGAAGAATAACACTAGCAATTATTTATCAGATCTTCTGGGCTATTTAGGATGGTTAAAGCGCTTAAAAAAAAGTCTTCAAAACAGCATGCCATTCCACGTACTGTTGAATTTCAATGACCACACCACTGTCGCATAGATAATCATGCCGGCGACGAAATTCTTTGACCCGTACTCCCATTGATAACTAGTCTATCGATTAGTTCTTTCGAAGTCAGAATCCTTCGTTTATTATTACGCACAACTCCGATTCCGGCAAAGTCGCGCGCTGTTCTGAGGTGAGGAGCGAGGTGTGTTTGCCTTGGGCAATTAGCGCGAAGAGTGTTGCCATCACGCACACAGTAGTGTAGAGAGACTGTCATTGTGTGAGTCGCAATTAAATCTATCTCGAAGACGAGACGATAGGATATACCCATGTGAAGAAGATGATGTAATCGTCGGGTCGGAATCCAGAGACGCCCACTTGTTTGGTGCGGCAAAACACCCTCGCCGTAATCATCAAAGTCGCAACAGCATACAAAGTCCATATTTCCAAGAGATTCGGGTCGATCTCCATGGTGTCTCCGATGCGGCGAGCGAAATGCTCTGTCGGCTGTTTATTTCGATATCATCGAAGGTGGTCCGGGGCTCCGCAGTTGACTGGGGTGAACACAAGGAACGCTTTGGTGGGTAAGGTAGTGAGCGGCATGGACATTTATCTCAATATGGAGAAGAATGCAATCCCAAGAACAGCAGGTTAAAACTTCTTTATTGAATGCTAGCCTAGCAAGACTCTGTTACCCTGAGCCAGACTGGTTAGGTTCGAGCCTGTGGAACTTAACTTCATCAGCTTCAGTGGTCCCTGGAATCTGCCACACATGTAGGTAGACTAGTTAGCTCTTCCGTAAAAACTACCCGAGTCACATGTATGCGGAGCAGAAAACAAACAATTACCCCGACAAGGGAATGTCTGGAGATATGCGGAATTCGGCTTGATGTATACATTTTGGCATTGTTCACGGCTCGCTAAATTTTCTTGGAGTACTAGCTCCAAGGTCAAAAGTCAAGGCAACAGAAATGTCTGCCTATATCAATTGGACGGTTGTATCAGTCCTCGGTGGTGATGAGCTGCTCCTGCACTTGGCAATTCAGCGACGATAGCTGTGAACAAATGGTTGGCGCTACTAGAACGAAGGACACTGCACTGCCTTGGGGTAATCCCAAAAGTTAACATCATTCGATTTTGCCTTGAAACGGGCTGCAAGATAGAACTTTCAACTCCAAGGTAGTGCCATGCTTTTCAACCAAAAGCACGTGGTGATCAGTGCAAGAACGCACTGCAGGCTTCTCCGATCTGGCAACGCTCCGAAGTCGATCAAGATGATATTGTGTTATCCCTGCCCATCTACTTGGTTCCGCGAGTCTATAAAGCCCTGCGTGTGCCACATCCAGATTATCGGTATGCCGTATCCCGAAACTTCCCCAGACTGCCCCAACTTCTGCATTACCCTTTCCTCGTGTCGAATGGGAGTAAATATGGAGCGACGACACCGAGTCATTGGTTTGAAGCGCCTGACATGGCTCGCGACAAGTGAAGTTCATCCAAAGTCCTCCCGATCATAAACCTGTGGACTTGAAGCATACGGAGACTAGAGTTCGATGAAGCTTTGTGTAGTGCGAACCTAGCAGGAATGAAGTTGAACTTGAGCGAACCTTGGTTATCAAGGCCTTCCCTGTGGAAAGCGTTCTGCTCTGAACTTGAACATTGGCAAGAAAGGTCTTTATCAGATACACAGTTGAAAAGCCCCCTCAGGCTGTTTAGTTATAGCCGCTACAGCCACGGATCTGCGTTACTACACGTATCAGTTCTTTTGTAAAACACTATGCTGACCTGATGTTACTCATTTGCTTCTTCAAATTGATTCAAACCATCCGAAACACTGGTGCACGAATGTCCAACGTAGTAATACAGTTAGCATAGACTGTTGGCTAGTAAATATAGGAAAGTGGCAGCCAGTACGACCACAACATTCAATAAACAGCCTTTGATAGCTAAACCTTATTGCCCTGGGTCATGTTGCTGGTCATTCGAGTCTGGTAGCTCAGAAGTCGGATTTGAGAAACGAAGTTGCAGAGTGGGACGACTATTACAAGTCAAACAAAAGGTCTTATAGTCTTTAGTGCAAGTCCTTCCCCGTTGATTTTTGCCTTGGCGAGTGTACTAAAAAACAACAACGTGCTGTTGACTTCTAACCTGAGTTGATGCTTGCAGCTTACTTCTAGGAACTTTGTGTCGGATTGGAAGTCCAATTCGACCTCTGGACAAGGGCCCGGGGCCACTTACAACCCATACTTACGAGAATCGCGGCCTGCCCAACCTCCGTTTGGAACCCCCCTTTTACACCCTTACGCAGAAGGTAGTATATATTGATTTGACCTCTTCGTCAACCCACGGTTCGAACCAACTACCCTGTGATAGGGATACCAACACTTTGGGTTGAGTTGTAAGCTCAGAACGTAGTGTAGCATAGCTTCTGACTTATCTTCGCTTGTGCCGTGGCATCATAAAGAGATCTGCTGGGTATCAGAGTTAAGAACTTGTTACCTTCAAAAAACACACGGTGTTTCATCGTTCTATCCAGGCTTGTGTGAAAAACCAAAACTGAATAGGCACTTCGGGTGCAGCAGTTGCCTCATCCACAGTTTTTTGGTACGTGTTGAGCGGCAGACTTTCTCAGGTGCCTTGAGCAAGGCAGCATACAGCTGCCTTTGTGTCACCTTCTTCATTATCACTGCACCACATAAGTTAACAAGGATGTGCAGGGAAAATTCGGCTATAAAAACAAGCACTAAGAACAACGTGGCAAAACGAAGGTGTTTGGCTCGGAGTACCACCGCACCAATATACATAGAAACTTTAACATCACATCATGATTACCGGTGGGTAACGTCTTCAAGTTGTTTTCTAGGTTGAAGAAGGAGCATGAACTGCGAGCCGAGGTGGTTCAAGGCTTGTAATGAAACTTTATGTTATCAGATGACATCATCTTGCGCGCGGTTGGCGCACTTCGCGGCTTCAAATCAGTTAATCACCGCTATATAATCCCTGCGATTAAGTAATAAAAAGTTCAAGCTTCAATCTAATATTAGAAACCGCTAGATGTGCTATCCTTGAAGCGGCGAAGGCCACTGGCATTTACATTTGAGGCGTGATCATTTTGGTTCTCACAGTATGCACAACGTGACATAGCCCCTGGGCTCGGGTCGTACCTTTGCAATTGCGGTGACCGTTTGGGTTGAAAGGTTTTCGTACGATGGCGAGAGAAGAAGGCTAGCTGCCTGTGCGCTTGCTAATTAGCTAATGCTGGGCCACATCTCACCAGACAGTTTGAGCTCTTTGAGACGAGAGTCTGTGCGACATCCCGTCCTGTGATCTGGTTGGCAAGCTCGCTCAGTCATACTTCACATCTAATTAGAGTTGCCAAGCGAAACAGTCCATTCGAGGTCCCATCCATTTTAAGGTAAGCTCGAAGTTACAGTTGATATCTCGATTGCATTCAAGCATTCTGATTGCTCGATAATAATTTGGAGTTAAGCGCATTAGAGATTCTTTTCTGGACGGACTTCCGGAGTAACGGTGCAAATGTGACTGGACGCGGAAAAACTAGCAGTATCTTGCTTCGGCCCCAGACTTGAAGGCGAAGGCGCGTGAAGGCTTATACCTTCCGTTTGGAGTAATACGGTCGCGTGAAAATCTCCGTCGCCGGATCATTTGGTTTTGTAATGGTTCATGAAGCTTGCCTAAGTATTTAGGGACTAGACAGTGTCGCATTTGACGTTGTGTATATTTATCCTTTTCATCAGAGGAAGACCCTAGTATTCAGTGCGCTTGAACTACACCATTCAAAAAGAATACTTCCCTCTACTGTCGGGAAGACATTACTTACACTCACAAGAAATATTCAAATCAAAGATTATGGCTTCCGGAGCAGGTGGAGGTATGAATGGCGGATTGAATCACGGTCAAGACTACCTGCGCGCGGTGAGGGGTATTACAGCATCTTCTTTTCCAACGGAGGAGGACCGAATGAAGGCACTTCTAGCAACGTACGAGGTTATTTCTAAGCTGGAAACCCCATGGGATACCTACGTCAGAATTCATTTGAATCAGGTAAAGCCTACGGAACACGCATATCAGATTTCAAGCATCGTAATAGTATGCTAACTTAATCTTAGTCGGCTGTCACTGCGGGGGTCAAAGTCATCAAAGACTTGAATCTGATGATGAAGTGGAAAGAACAAGGGTTTGTCCCGATGACGAGTGATCAACTCGCAGGCCTTGTTGGGGGCTGTGATCCTCGGCTCCTCCGTGAGTATCATCGGTGCCACGCATGTATACTGAGAGACATCTTCGAATGCAACTAACATATCGACTACAGACAGGTTTCTCCGTAGCCTGGCAGCAAACGGTCTAATGGAACAAATCCCAGTAGAGAAGTTTCAGCCGAACCATTTCTGCATGGAACTAGCAAAGCCAGACTTTAACACTCTCACCAACTTCTAGTGAGTACTTGACAACCAAGTCGAAGTATTTCTTGTTCTAAGCCCCGCAGTTACGTGACTGGGCATGGCGCATTTGGTACCTTGCCCGATTATCTGGCAGAAACAGCTTACAAGGATCCTTCCGATGCCACGAACACAATCCTCCGGAAGTCCACTGGGCACAGCGGAGACCTATGGTCTTATCTGAGCGAAAATCCCAAAATAGGTGAGATGTTCAACATCGTACAGAAGGCGTCTACGAACAAAGAGCCACCATGGATGGACATGTACCCTCACCGCAACTTGGTTGACGGATCAGACCCGAGTCTCCCGCTTCTCGTGGATATTGGTGGCGGCATCGGTCATGATCTCTTACGCTTTTACAAAGCATACCCAAACGAAGGCTCAAGGTTATACCTCGAGGATCTTCAGTCAGTCATTAGTGACGCGGAGGAGAAAGCCCTCCTTCCCGATACGGTAAAAAAGGTGGAATACAGCTTCTTTGAGCCACAACCAGTGAAGCGTGAGTCCATCCATCTGTTATTGGAAACTCAGCATTGATGTGTGATGCAGATGCTCGTGCATATTACATGCACCATATCATTCACGATTGGCCCGATCACCTCGCCCTGAAGATATTAGAGACGCAGAAAAGCGCCATGAAGCCTGGTTACAGCAGGTTGCTGATCCATGACCAAGTTCTGGATGATGAGAAGAGCCAAATGAATACCACAGCATTTGATATAGGCATGATGGTATACTTGTCCGGGAAAGAGCGCACTGAGAAACAGTGGCTGGCTTTGCTTGACTCAGCCGGTCTCAGAATCATCAAATTTTGGAAGAAACCACCCGACTACTTCAGTGTTATCGAAGTCGAAGTGCCAGTTTCCTAGAGCCTGTTTGTATCTCTCTATACAATCGTATGATTAGTTGACGATACTTGTATTTTTATGTAGGCCAATCTACAATCCTTGTTGCAAACTGCAATTTGATAAGTCCTTGTGGAAGATATTCTATTGGACTATTACTTCAGCACCTCGATGGCGGGGACACTGTGATCACACTTCCCATATGTACGACTACAATTGCACTCTGATAAAGATGGCATATTGTACAAGATAACTTCTGATCTATTACGCCACTTGATTACGCTACAAGATTGTTTCACCGGATGCAAACTCTTGCACTGAGCGCAACAGAGGTTTAACGATTATTTCTGAGAATATTTGAGTACACAAGTTAGAGAGCAAATTTGTTGAAAGATTAAGTAACTTATCAGCAAAGTCGCTCAAGGCTCTGAGACCCTTTAAACGAAAACAATCCTGAAATGTGGTCTCGACTTAGAGATTCTTCAGCTCTACAACCTCATCTCTGTGTACCCGTAGGCCATAAATACTCTCAGGTCCACCTATAAACTTGTCTCCAAATGCTTTAAATCCGTCATCCCGCCGGCAATAGGTCTCGATGACTGTCTGAATAGGCTTGTACGGATAAGGTACCATGATGCCCTGCCCATGATCCTTTCCATTCAAGAACATCAACTCCAACTCCTCTGTTCCGCTCCACTCGTACTGCTTCCACGACTCTAAATCATCCATCGTCCACCTCACGTCTCCGGAGTATACATAGCTTGCTACTGCTCTTGGGTTAGTCACGCAGTCTTCTCCTCCCAAGACAACAGTGCTGCGCATTCCGGCTTGAACGCCGTTGCCGAATATCGCAATTTCTTCTGGAGAGCCAGATGCATAGTAGCCAGCCTCAACAGTTCGCAGGCTTGGCGTGAGCATCTCACGCCACATTAGAGACTCCCGCCAGCAGAGCCTTCGAGCAAGTGTGTATGCCGTCCCGGCATCGGTTGCACTTGCCCACCATATCTCCCATTCGTTGCCGTGTCCTGTTCTTCCACGGATTGATGGTGTAGGCTCCCGGCGAGTGAAGTTGAAAGCAACATCAGGCAGATGAAGAAGCAAAGACACTGGGTCTATTAAGATGGATGCAGCAACCCGCGGAGCGAAATCTGCTCTTTGTAGTAGTTGGCCCATCAACAACGTCCCGTAGCTGTTCCCAATTAGAACAAAGTCATCCCATACTCCACGTTCTCCGACCCCGGGCGCTGGCTGCGAAGCTCGCTGCTGTGCCACACACTTTGCTACCATCTCGCAGAGTTCGGGTGTCGATGGCAGTGGCCACGTGGTGACGCGGGAAGAGATTGGTAGCATCTCAACTGCGAGGATGCCGACGTCCTTAGGAATTGTGTGGAGCCAGAACATGTAGGGGATTAAGCCGACTCCTAGGCCATGGATAAAAACGACGGGACGTTGTGTTGCTGACTTGTGAGGTCGATACCAGTAAGACATTTTGCTCGCTGCAGATTGTTTGAAAGGGAAGAGGTTGATGAATCGGACCGGGAAAACCTTAAAGAAAGTTGAGACTGATTGTTTATAGTACCGGTAGCCTTGGGTCAGAAGATACAAGGCCATCAGGTTATCGAAAAGGCCAATGACCTAAGGAGAAATCTATTTAGTAAAGATCCATTGACCGTTGAAAGGGCGGCAACAACCAAACAAAGTATGTTACTGAACGCTGCATGTGCCGCCATATATCGCTGAAAGTCTCCGAAAGAAATAACGGTTGTCAGCAACTCACCATGTAGTAGAGCAAGCTTCGATGTTGGATCATTACAGGGTCGAAGGCGAGTTTCAGGGCTTCTGCATTTCCTCTTCCTGGGCGTAATTTGATCCCAAACCTTTCTTCAGTATCGTCGATGTACCCCTCGAGTTCGTCTTCAACTTCCTTGGTAGGACGGCCAGCTGTATTGTCCTGTTCAAATAAGGCCCATAGTAACCAATCCTTTAGGTTTTCGCGGCGTATATCCTCCATGTGTGCGTTGAGCATCCACATGCGAACAAATTCCTCGCCATCCGGCACTAGACTCAAGGCCTTGGAAAATAGTCGAGCGCGCTGTGAACGACTCATTCGGGCCGGCGTGTACGGCTTGTAAGTCTGCAGGTATCGTTTGTACGGTAGGAAGAAGAGCAAGTAAAACAGAATTTCAATGGCGGCAATGACCTCAATGAAGATGGAAACTGGATGAGCAATAGCCTTGACGCCGCCTAAAGCAAATACGACGTAAAAGTAGGTCAGGCCCAGAAGTCCCAAGTCCCTCATCATAATTATCAACACACGCACCGCAATGTATTGCGGCCATGTTTTTTGGACAATCATCGTCGAAGCTTAGAGGTCGGAAGGCTCTCTCGTTGGAATGCTTGTCGAAGTGTCGTAGTTGTCGGTGGAATAATGTTGAGTACTTCCTCAGTCGGCCGCTTTGAATTCTTCGTTAATTTCTGTAGCTGAAGAGCAATGAAGCGCTTGTGGTAATGCTCAAGAGCATAAGTCGAGAGTCAAATCGCTGCGGATTTTCATGCTCATGGGAATAGAAAGGAATGCATTACTCTTCTCGGATAGACAGACGCTCTGGACCTGCCGAGCGGTTGTGACGTATAACGGGGACTTGAATCGGACGCGGCAGAGCCAACCGTGGATACTTGAAAGGAGAGCGGGCCCCGTATCCGGAAAGAAGACAGCGGAGACAGTCTCCTTAACTTGACATCGGCGGGGTGGAGATGATGGACGACGGTGATCTTGGACTGCACCGCATAAGAATGCCGGCTGCGGTAGTTTCAAGAGGGCTTGCCGCACTACGGACGACCTGTCAGCAAAATATGGTTATCTCTGACATGTGTTGCGCGTCCTGCAAGGCGTATCATCTCAGCCGTGGTAAATGGGCTGTGATTTCTATCTGGTTTTCGGCTCTCCAACCGAATTTAGACCAGTCGACCAAAGGGGTAATCGAAGAGGTGCACCTTAGCGGCGATGAACTTCGGCCCAAAACCGACTGTGTCGGACCTTGCCGACTCGCCATCGTCTTCTGGGCCCTGTATGGCCAAGTCTCGTGTTTCCTCGGTCGGTTCTTTGTTGGCGATTGGTCAGATGCGTCTGATGTGTAATTGTGCCCGTGTCATCGTTCATGTACTCCGGCCAACTCTTTTGTGGGATACCCTTGTGCTGTCATTGTCAAAGCCAACAGAGGCCCGAGATCCGCATTGATGCTGGGATCTAGGGAGAAATTCCCCGTGTTCGTTCAGCGTGTTCGCTTCAAGGTGGTCGGTATCTCACCTTGAGAAAATTGACGAAAGAATCTTCCTTACCGTTTTCCAAAATCTTTAGCCGATCAAAGTATGATTCATAAATTGACTAGTAGCTGATGTCATTGCCCAGCTTCGAGCTGTATTTAATAACGTATGGGTGAGTGTATGTCAATCTTCCCTAGGATCTACAGCTATAGCGTCAAGTAAGTGTAAAAAACATTTGGTAACGAGTGTGATGCCTCTGAGCTACCTACTGAAGTAGGTCAACAATCGATGGATTGCAGAAGAAAACAAAATGATGATGTCAAATAACCACGTGCACTTATCTGCTTACGGGAACGCCTCGCTCAGCTGCCACTCGCATAGGTCTAATCTGACTCTTCTTCAAATTAATAGTCGGTATCGGGCCGCCAACTTAGTGTACTACCGGTACGTAGGTTTAGTGTTGAGCTTCTGAATTTGTCACCCTTCCATGTTATCTCATCCCCAAGTTATGTGCTATGAACACTCAATAAGTCGAATTGTTGGAAAAACACCATTGCAACGAATTACTATGGGAGTTAATCCGTAGCAGCACGCCGCCAAACTTTCTCAGAATATTGAATTAGCCTAGCAAACTTGCACCATATCGCGATTGGAGACTTCATGGCAAGAGCCTAGAGCGCATAGCACCGGAGCAAATAGTATGACTAGGTTAGTAACCCAGAAAGCTATGCTCAAACTCGCCAATACCAAAGTAATTCAGATGATTCAGGAACGAATTGAACGTGTGAGTAACTCTATCCGGTCGGTAAGACCAATTATTGATTAAAGTCTACTAATCCAGCTATACTTGAAATAAGACATGTGAACATCTAGGAAATGGGGCAGTTGATCGCGCTAAGAGGTGACTGGTTAGCCGCATCTCTGATGTTCGGTGTCTTTCCAATAACTTACTTCTTGTCGGACTCGTTGGCGGTGATGCCAGCCGGCTGCTTGCCGTCCACGGTGCACTTGGCGAAAACGTTAGGGACGATTTGTCCCGAGGTAGTGCCGCAGTCAATGAGGTAGGTCTTGCCGCTGGTGCCGGTCACTTCGATGTCGTGGCCCACGCTGACGTACTGGTTGACAACGCCATCTCCGGAGAAGTAGCTATTGCCAATTGTTAACCCAGTTGCAATCCAAGCACTGGATTGAGTGGCTTAAGGGAGACTGCTACTTACCATCCGTAGATGATCTGACGGCTCTCAAGAGCAGGGGCAGCCTGGGCTCCGGCAACCAAGAGAGCAGTAGCGACGGTGAAGGCACGCATTTTGATTGATATTTGAAGTTAGAAAAGAGTGATACTGTGTTGATTACAGGAGGTAATGAGAAAACGAGAGACGAGTAGGTAGTTGATGCAGAGCAGTTTGAAGCTACAACACATCTGCGTGTCCGGCAAGCTCTTATACCAAGAGTGCACTAAACCGAGACCGCCATACGTCGTATTTGTCGATCATTCAGTCTTTGACTTTCACACATACGGGCCTCGAGTGGAGTCTATACTCCTTGACTGCATATTGTTTTCATGCTGTTGCCGACTGTTAGGCTTCCTGACACCAAGAACCTAGGCCTAATACCCGGGGAATCCGACAACAAAAATAACTTGGCGCCAGTTCATCCAATTCTGAACCTTAAGTGGCTGGTTTGCACGGGAAGATTCTCACTGCCACAAGCAGTGGGGAATGAGCAGAGTATAATAGAATGCGCAATCTTAGTTTCAGAAGCTTATCCTTGCCGTGTCAGATCGTTGACTACTCGGTGTAGCTCGGCGACCGGATTGCTCAACTAAAGCGTGAACTGTCGATGATTGGTAATCGGCGAAACCAGAAAAGTTTCAAGCTTCAGTCTTTGGTTTGAAGGTTTAGAAATTCTTTGTATCATTTGGGTGAAGTGCAGTCCTTTCGCAAGGAGAATGAGCAGTTGGCAAGAGAATCATTCGTCGCGTTCAATGGAAGAACTGGTTGAAAGAGTACGAGTCAGGAGCAGGGCGGCGAAGGAGACGTGATACATGCACTGTTTGGATTGGGACATCCCTCGCAGGCTCTGACAGAATGGCTTGTAGTCTGATGCCTCGTGCAGAAGCACAACTTTGAAGCCAGAGAAATGAACGAGAGGATCACACAGTATTGTCTACACGATATTCAGCCAGTCAAGAACCCAAGCAGCAGCCAACTTGCAGGTTCACAACCTTCGGTAGATGATGCACAACACCTTGCCTAATGAGGTATGTGACGTCCAACAATGTTGAGCAGAGATAGCAACAGTCAACACTGTATTATTTGAAGATATTTCCATCGGCTGCGGAGCTTCGATTATCAAAGTCTTTGCTACCTCTATAAATGTGACGCTGGTGCACTTTCCCCTACCTTCCGAGGCCAGGGGCATTACTCGTACCGTAGAAGGAAATAGTAATCAGGGAATCAAATGGAGATATATCTGTAATATTGACTGCAGTCCGCCCGAAAAAGTAGTTACAGATGCTGCGTTGGCATGTAGACCTGTAGATGGGAATGCGAGAGGCCCTTTGCTTTTGTCGCTTGCGTCTCAACCATAAAAAGTAAAAGTTCTCTGTAGCCTACGTAGGCCACCTTAGTTCACGACTTGCACTTTCTACACTGTACACGCAGTTTACGAAGTCTAAGGTGAAGTTTGACTGACAAAATTTGGCGAAGTTTGGAGGAAAAGTTGCGATTGTAGAGTGAGTAGGAACATAAGTTCAATAGTCGCAGTTAGAACGTTGGACAGGACAGCTGTAAAGAGAGAGTACCGCCTGATTGCAGACTTAGGTCTCGTGTAATGCAACGGCTTCCACTTAGAAAGTTGACATTTTTTGTGACTACTACAAGATAGGGGCCACATGGTGTGTTCTAAGAGCCGTTTCGACTTCTTCCTGTCCCACAATCATTGGCTCCCGTAAACAGCATATGCATTAAGAGCAAGACACATCCCACTCCACACTAAGAACAAGAATCCTTCCCCTCCCTTCGATACACCCCTTCCTTTCTCGTCAGAAACAAGGTGAAATACTGACGGACATGGAAATCTGAATTTACCCAACTTCGACCTCTACTTTGAAGACAAATACATCTGCAGAAGATTGCAGACGAAATTTCTGGTGTCAACTGCCATGATTTTGAGAGCGTTGGTCAGGAAGCAATAGTTAAACGGAAAATAAGTCAAGTTGTGAGGAAGCTAATGTCTATGGCCTCAGCCCTTCTGCTGAGATGATATGCTTAAAAAGTAGCATTTGCCTCGTGTCTAGGTAAATGGAGCTGCGTGGTATCTTGATGTCTTCGAAATGGCACTGTTGGTATCCCTATCACAGGCTAGTTGGTTCGAACCGTGGGTTGAGGAAGAGGTCAACTTGATATGTATCAACTTCTGCGTAAAGGGTGTAAAAGCGAGGTTCCAACCGTAGGTTGGGCAGACCGCGGTCCTCGTAGGTACGGTCTGTAAGTGGCTCCTGCGCGGGCCCCTTGCCTCGAGGTCGAATTGGACTTCCAATCCGACAGGCACCAAGAGCATCAGATGAAATAGGAAGAAGCTCAAGGAACCAAAGATGCCTTCTCTAGCACTGAAAGCCAATTGAGATACCTGAGTTGCCCCAAACCTTGACGAAGCTTCCCGGGGTATCTCATTGACCAGCGCTTGCGGTCCACCAAGTGGTCCACTTTCTCGTATCTCCAGGAAAAGAAAACGTGGTCTTCTTTCTTTTCTTCTGAATTTCCTGCGAAGGAAGGATCTGATGCTAGGACCATTGCCTGCCTGCTCCATCCATGCGCGTCTGTCAGACTGTCAGATTGTCGATAACGGTGACTGCACAAGACTTGATAAGATTCAGGATGTGTCCCCCCTGGTGATGTATCTGTAGAGAACTTGGAAAAGATTGTGTTTGTCGTTATCATCTAAACTGGCCAAGAAATAATCAAAACACGTTTTGAGCTCTGCTCCGGGATGCCGTGGAGGGTTGAGGCGCCATCGACGGTTTATTCTAGCAAACACATAAGCAGTGAGCGAATATGCAATCATGGTGGAGTGGGGTCTGGAGGCGATCATCCCAAGACTGAGGGATCCCAAGGCTGAGGGACCAGTAAAAGATTGGGTTGAAAAATTTCGATGGTAAGGTAGCATTAGGTGGGAGTGGCATTGAACTCATGTTTGCGGCACCGGCATATCGAGCCTGCCACGTTTTGGAGTGGCCATTCATTTTGCCAAGGTGGCGGGAATGTGGGAATCGGGGCTCATTGGATGCATCCCCTGGTTCATGCATGAGGCACAGAAAGGTCTGACGACGATGGCCTCCTCGGACAAGTCTAGCCCGGGGCTCGGGCGCGCCAAAACTTTCTTATTCAGACGCGGCTCCTCGTATGTCTCATTGTCTGCTGCAAAAGTGTTGCCAACTTGCCACACTTAGCTTCACCAGCTCAATAACAGGCTGATAACCCCTCATCTTCGAATCTCTCGTCCGTCTGGCCATCAAGTGCGATTCGATGTCAGAAATCAACTTGAAGCCCAGCAAACCCGTGACGATATCATCTAGATGGGGAATATGAGAGCAAGGAAAAAAGTGGCAATCATTGCCGATGTTTGCTTCCCAACCAACTGCCACCAGCGATCCAACGGTTTAGTAACCTAGTTCGGCATAATCCGTGCTTTAATGGCGACGTCCAACCAGAACACCTCATGCACCGGCACCAACACCAGCACTATTTCGGTTGCTTGCTAACAGGATGCATATTACCCCTGTCGCACACCCAGCGGCAGGCACAATGTCCGATTACATCAACCTTCCGGCCGCAAGAGAATTCCCTCTATCTTCGTCTTATATGTGCAAAGCACATTCCCGGTGCCCGGACCAAGATGGTTGAAGCCCAGACGGCAAGCCGCATCACCTTTCTCACTTCGTGTGACCAGATGTTCCTGCATTCGATTTGTTAGGACTCCCACTTCCGCAATGGTTTCCATCGCATACCACTCAGACCACGATATCTCCGGCATTCTGACCATCTCACATGGAGTACTGAGTTTCCTGGCTACTGTTCTCTTCTTGCTCAGGCTCTACGCCTCGTGGCGGACACCGCATGCGATATGGACCACCGATGTTCACATTTCTCTGATAGCGTTGGTTAGTAGCTGCAGCCGACTTCATACCTAACGGGACATCCCGCAGAGTGAAACAGACTGACTCAGAGTCTAAAAGCTGGCAAATCACGCTTTACTTGCTATTGAACTTGCCGGTAAGTATATCTCGATGATCTTTGAGACAGAACAGCTAAAGCTTTCGTTCAGCCGTTCCGCTTGGTCTTGGGACCAACATCCAAGATGTGATGGATAATCAACCAAACGGCACTGCTCCTCTGTTCAAGGTAGGCAATTTTGCCATCCTCAGTCATCGTGTCTCATCACTGACACGGAAGATTCAGAGTATTCTGGCCATCGATATTATACATTGCGTAGCGTGCTCAGCCGCCAAGATAGCAGTTCTCGCCATGTACTACCGTCTTTTCTCAGCTTCAAAGGTTTTGCGGTGCTGGGTATGGGGAACAACGATTGCAATCTTGTTGTGGCTCATTGCTGTGATTTTGGTCAGCAGTAAGTGAATTTCTGACAGGAACTTCCCTGTGGTTCCCGACTCCATCGTTGAGCAACAACTGTCGAATGAGACAGCATGCTAATGCTTTTGAACGACGCATAGCTTTCTCGTGTTTGCCCGTAGAGTATCACTGGGACAAGTCCCTTCCTGGTACCTGCATGGGAATCAGCAAAGTAGGGATTTTGTTCCCGAACATCATTTTCGACATCATAGCCATGGTCCTCCCCATCAACGAGATATGGAGGCTGCAGATGCCACGAACCAAGAAGGCGGCACTCACGGGCATCTTTCTAATCGGGGGCAGGTGTGTAAATGCCTTCATCAGACCACGTTTTCTCCGAGGTAATAACTGACTTTCGTCAGCGTCATCCTCATCTCCATCTCCCGGCCGCTCCTCTTCTGGATCTTCCGCCCCGTGCCCGGCATAGCGCACAACGTCAGCCAGACCACCATCTTCCCCTACACGGCATCGGCCGCGGAAGTCTGCCTCGACATCATCGGTGCCTGCCTACCGCCCTGCGCTTCTCTATTCAGGCGCTTCTTCGGCGGCGTCGTGAATGTTGTGAAGTCGGGACATCATTACTCCACCTCGAGGGGCAAATCCAGCGGCAAAGAATCGTCAACAAAGAGATCCAGCAAAGTACGCGCCCTTACCATCGGTAAAGCGTCTAACCGCAAGCGAGCCGCCGCCGATGATGCGATCGATCTTGAGGGTTCATTTGAACGGCTTGGGGATGGGGTTAGCTGGCAAGGTTCGACGGATGGGTTGTATGGAATGGGTGATCTCCAGCACAGCACAGGGAATGTCGATGATCGCAAAGGACATGATGGGATATGCGTCAGGCACGATATCCAAATTCATCACGGTGGTCTAGTCACGACGGATGACATTGCAAAGTGGCACCAAGGAGACGTCTTTGATGTGAGATCTAGCAGACTTTCACGGGAAGCTTGACGCTCATTTGCGGCCCTTGAACTTTCGATTTTGCTTTGGTGTAGAATACTGTACATTTTGACTATGGAGTACATGCATTTACCTTGCCATCTTTGTGCGAGGCGATGCTAGCTACCAAGAGCTTGCTTCCCGTTTGATCATTTGATGTATAAGTATGCATGTCGTGACACTCATGTAGAGCGCAAAGTCCGGAAAGGGCATTTCTTATGCCCTCCTAACCGTGACCTCCTCACACCTCACACCTCAACCCAGTCCTCCCAGTCCTGGATAACAGACTCTTCATATTTTGCATCCATGAACTCCTTCACCCACTCTTCATCCTCGCCAAAGTCCAAGTCTGCCTTCTTGAAATAGACTAGAATAATAATGCATCCCTAGTTCCCAAGAGAAATAGCCATGATCTCACCTGCAACTTCGTCCGCAAATTTGTCCTTTGGCGCGACAGTGACCTGGACATCCTCCCCTTTCCCTTTTATGGCGATGTCTTGACTTTTCGAATCGCTGGTAAATGCGTTTAGACGGACAGCACATCCGGTGCCTTGGGTATTCTTTCCCGTCGCGACGAGTCTGAAGCAGTGGATGTATTTATCATTGATGCGGATGGAGAGGGCCTCTTCGAGGTTGTCGAATTGGTGTGTGGAGTCCTCCGGGGGGAGGTGCGGAATGTCCGTATGGCTCCATGTAGCGAAATGGGGTCGGCTTGTTTCCGGCCGGGGGGATTCGAGTTGTTTGTTGAGACATTGTGTTTATTCTGTTACGCAGGGGTGGGCTGCGTCGCTTATTCTACCAGTTCAAGACCCGCGTCGTGGGGATGATGTGTTTGTTGTGTAGAACACCACACGTGGACTCTCCAACGAAGACCGAGGCTTGGTTAATTTGGACGCGCTTAGCTCCATCTACGAATGCTTCCCAACTCGTTCGAAATCATTCAAAGGTTTCTTGAGGATGCAGGCGACCATGGCATGAGAGAATTTCATGAAAAAGAGGCCCACTACTAGAAAAGACCATGTCTATCGTGGGACATCGTGGGCAACTTTTGAGATCTCCAGTTCCGTGGTAACCAAGAGAACTGGCCTCCACCACTGATCTGCTCACATGTAGGGCCAGGGGCAGCTTGATGCGGTACAAAGTTCTGTCACAAAAGCTTTTTCTCCTTATTCTCGATTTATGCATCTTGGCTTTGGCGTTTCTCATGAAATCCTTTGGGTTACCTTTCGGGCCACCCAGAACCAACAGGGTCGGTCATAATGTGGTCCATCCTGACTGTTTCCTAGTCCCCGAAATCCAATCACCCTACTTCCCCTACTTTCGTCCATGAAATTCCTCTTTGTCAAAACTTCAAGACCTCGAGCTGGTTGTTAAAAGCCATTCGTGTCCGGCTCCTTCCCCCTCCCCAGCCCCAAAAATTGCAGAGCATATGAACTCAGGAGTGGCAAGTGCAAACACTATGAAAAAGTCAACAACCATAGAGACATAAGACGCAGACTACCTAGGGTAAGGAATCATGAGAGCTTACTTCTTGGAGCTGCAATATCCACCAGTTCCCTTCAACGCGAAGCACTTTGACAAACTCGTCAGCAAATTTTATCAACGCTTCAAGTGGAGACGTTGCAACATTACCTTGACCTGACAAGCCTTATCGCCGCCCAAGAACGAACACGTCCATCCCTGACGGTTCTCGAGAATCTCTGCGGCGCGCTTGATGACTTCAGTCTCTTCTGCGGAAAGAAGATTGTGATCTTCGAGCTGTTCTGCCGCCGCCGGTTGGGCGATAGGGTTTGCGAGGATTGTCGTTGAAGAGATGGCCAGTGTGGCGAGGGAGAGGAGTGTCATTGAGAATCGCATTTTTTGGAGTGGTGTCTTTGTCTTCCCGGGTACAAGATGTACGAAGTATTGTACTTGTGAAAGGTAAGGTAGGTGGGTGTAATTGGAACTTGGGTGGTGGATATGACTCTAGAATAACTTGTGAGGTTGGGAGTCTAGAGATACGGATCAAGAAGGGCCTTCGACTGTCAGTATTTATGTGTTTTCCCCCAGCTCATCGAATCTTACCATTCTTGTAACCTATCCCCATTCAGACCCTGTTCAAGATATCATGTTACTTCTCCGCATCTTCCGTCTCCCTCTCTCGTTCATCTTCTTGGCAACTAACCTCCTATGTAAGGATCCGCAAGCCAAAATCTGACGATCTCGCGATGAGGAGTTGTGGTCATCAACCTTGTTTCAAGATTTTCCTGATCGACAAATCCCGCCTTTCTCCGAGTGGTTGTTGGGTCCGTACATGTCCACGATCACAACTGACGAGTCAGAAGTCAGGGCGAGTTCACTGTGAAAACAACTCCTGATAGTCACACACGGGCAGCCTTGAGCAACCTCACGACACCCTCTCTAGATGAGACCGGCAAGCCAAGAGTCCAGTCCCATACCTAGCCCCGCAAAGCTCCACGCCTGTCACCTCGTGGCTTAGAGTATCAGACCGACGATGGGACGAGAACGCGGAGCTTTTCCACGGACTGGCACGCCCGGGTAAGACACGAGACCCTAGAAGCTAAAATTCATACTGAAAACGGCCTCGATGTGGGAAAGTGGGATAGAGCGTAGAAGACGGTGGGGTTCAAGTTGTCTCTCTAACCTAGGCTAAGACACGAACTAATAAGCTGGCTTGCGGGTGTAGCCGCCGCCGAGGACGCCGAGCCCTTGCCGGGGGGCTGTCACGTAACAGGCCCTAAAGCCAGTCCAAGGGCATCGTCATAGCAGATAGGACTACAAATTTTCTAGCCAAAAGCTGAAAGATCTCCCCGTTAGATCGCCAGGGAGTAAAAAAAAGCTTCGCACCAAAACTTCTACCCGACGACGAGCCTGCAACTAGCTCGTGGGTACGGTGAACCAAGTTGGAAATGATCCGAATAACTCTGACACAGAGGCTAAAGCTGAAAGAAGCTGAAGCTAGAAAAAAGGATTCGATCAGCTAAGGAGGCGGGAGCTAGAGCTGTCAAACTCCACGATGTCTCGCGACCCCCTCACATTCACATTCCTCACTTCCAGGTGCCAAGCCACAGAAACCCCCTGCAGTGATGTTCGCCACATCAAAGGGGGAAAGCAAAAAAGCCACACCTGCAACGCTAAGAGAGCGGCCCGTCGGCCGGAAGCCAGATGCTCAGTGTAGTGCAGACCTGCACTACGAGCTCTTGGCTCTGATGTCTTGGCGTCCGTTGAGCGTGGGCTTGCCTTCCTTCGTCCAGGTTCTTGTGTACATGACAAGCTTGCTTGCAGTCTGCATGCCCTCTGCAAAGACAGTGCATCCTTTTCAAAGTCTTTGCGCCTTGAAGGGTACCTTGGAAAAGGTGAAATATACACAGAGCTCTGCAAACTCTTGAGAGCTTCTACATGATCAAGAGCACGCGCATTCAATGCTGCAGGGAGCTCGTCCTCGCGTTCCGAGCGGCTGGGATCCCGGTGGGGGAAGAGAATGATAGCTCCTGCTCAGACTCTCTCCTCGCAGGTCATGACGTGCTCGTCCAAACGCAAAAGGCTGTGATCGAGAGGCAGGGTCCGCCGGAACAGAAAGAGCTCCCAAGCAGCATAAACAAGCTATTTTGGCTTTCTCCTGGCATAGGCATGGCTACCCAAGTCAAGTCCTGAAAGGAGAGGGTGAGGGAATGGACAGATGATGATGGGGAGCAGGATATGTGCACGTCAATCCTGCACTCCGGCCGATCGCGAAAAACTTTGAGGGGGAAACAGATTTCCTATCTGCCCATGCAAGAAGCAAAGAGATGCTGGGTTGAGCGTTATCCAACGCCAAAAACGGCCGCAAGTTCCCACAGCCACTATGAGGCTCGGTCATGCGCATCCTTGAAAGAAAACGTCTTAAAAGTGAGTTCTGACACTGTGGTTGAAAGGGCTCATGCCCGTTCTAGATGACCCAGGGCTCCGTGTACATGATTGCAGCCATCCGTCTCCCAGAATGTCGGATGCCAGAGAATGAGACTGGCAACGGGCTTACAGAGAGATAAAAGGTTGCATTCGAGCTGAAGAGATGCTTACTGTAGCCCAGCCAGGCTTGACTTGCTGCCGGATCCCGTGCGATTAAACCTCTCGCTGGGACCACCGGGAGACTAGCCGGCTTGATCCTCGAGTATCAGGTCCAGCCAAGGCATTGGGTTCTGGGGTAAGTAGAGTTTTTCTCCTACCAATGTAACCTTGATGAGGGAAGCGTAAGAGCACAACTATATAGGCAAGAGAGAATGGCCAAGCTCATACGGCGGATAGCTCGGAGGGGACTCTGTCTTGGTGTCCGACAGATGGTGGTGGCATGGTGTTGAATCTTGACTGGGGCCAGTCGCAAGCTTAAACAGTCCCCGTTGTCCGAGTTGGGAGAAGCAAACAGGCCGTAATCCATAGTCGCCGAGTCGTTGAATGAAACTTGGCTATCGAAATAAGGCCGCGGCGGCTACGTGGGGGTGACTTGGCTTAGGTGCTTTCGTTATCGGTGTCTTTTGTGTCTCCGACGCCTTGTCGGTCGGTGATCGGCCACGGGTGTTGAAACACGCAAAGAGCCGCCCGCCACGTGTTGGCGATGGCCGTATGTATTGTGATACGTCTACCGTGCGCGAAACCGCAACCTCTCACACACGACATGACGTTGAGGTTCCCATTGCGAAAAAAGAGGAGCAGTCGAACTCCGTATTGGATCTCCTCGTAGGCTTGTCCTCCCATCCCGGGAAGGACATCCTCATTTGCGGTAGTGCAAAAGAGGGGAGGATGTGCGGGGGATTTTCCCGTTGCCCTGCATCCGCGTTAATAACAATTAAGGCTTGTGTTCCAGGAACAACCCGGTGACAAAAAGCGTTTACGACTCGAGGAAATTCTGGACCACTGCACTGACTATTGCCTCCTTTGGCCGATCTTTGGGGTGGCTGTGCGTTCCGCTTTCCGGTTTCGCATTGATTTCAGATCCCGCCGTCTCCCTACATGATGTGCGTGTTCTCCCTCCCCCTGGACCATTCTGCCCGCTCTCATCAAAATGGGTGTTGGTCGCATATTTTCTCGACAACGCTGGAGCCGGTTTGTTGAACAATCAGATCTACATCACCAACAGTCGCCGGCAGTTTCTACCATGCCCGACGTCGAGATGGCCCGAACGGGAACCGTACAACGAGAAGGGGAAAAGGAGGAGGACACCGAGTATAGACCATTGAACTGGAAGAAGATCTTCTTGACGCCAAAGTATATCCGTATGAACTATCCGCTCGACACTAAAAAAAAGGGGGGGGCTGACCAGGGCGGTATGCAGCATTCCACCTCTTGGGTATTGCCATCATTGTGGCAACAGTTTTCATCAGTCTTCACCATGACGAGGTCGTTGAGGTATGTGCCGTTTTTCTGAAGGCGAACAGGATTCCTTTACTAATGTGCCGTGCGATCATAGAAATTGAGGCCCTTTTCTGAAAAGGTCCGATCGCTCCCTGGAGGGTTCTTGATTCCGATCGCCATCTTGGTCCTGATCTCGTTTCCGCCCCTTTTTGGCCACGAGATTGTGGCTCTGTTGTGCGGCGTGGTGTACGGCCTGTGGATTGGATTTGCAATCGTCGCAGCCGGCACTTTCATCGGAGAGAGTACGACGTTCACAAACCCTCACGTATGACGAGTTTGCTAACTCAATTTGCAGTCGGAACGTGGTTTGCATTCAAGTATACCTTGCGACGCAAGGCCCAAAAGCTGGAGAGAACCAACCTCAATTACGGGGCTTTGGCGCGATTGACTCGCGACGGGGGATTCTGGGTATGTTTATTGGCATGGGTTGCTCGAAGACGCGGACTGTTAGACTGACATTTAAAAGATCGTCTTCATCATTCGATTCTCGGTCATTCCGTCCCATTTCTCGACGGCGGTGTTCTCGACATGCGATGTTAAGTTCTGGCACTTTGCCGTGTCGACATTCTTGACGCTTCCGAAGCAAATCATCCTCGTCTACCTCGGTGTTCTTCTGATCGAGAAGAAGTCGAACAACAGTAATAACACCATCAAGAATATTGTCTTCGGCGCCACATTTGTTCTGACCATCGCACTCGCGGTATACATCTATGTCAAGATGAGAAGAGTCAAGAAGATGCTGTTGGCGGAACAGGAAGAGAGGAGAGTGCAGCGAGAGTTGCAGGAGTTGCCTCAAAAGGCTGAGGTCGACGCAGTCGAGACGGAGATCGTACCTCTCCAGCCTGGCGCGGCGACGGTGCGAACAGACAGACCGGGATACCCACACTGGATTTGAGGGCTAGAAGCCACCATAGGGAAAGATGGAACTATGGGGAAACAGATGTCCAGGAACTTGGGACATACAGGGACGGGAAACATGGGACATTTGCTCTTTGGAGTTGGCGTTGGCAGGCGCAACATAGCGTTGAGGACCAAGAAGAAATGATTGGCTTTGGTTTCTGACAAAATAAGCGGCCTCCCTGAATGTCTAGAAGTGAAATTTGACTGCACTGGCTTCTATGCCAGTGGGAAGTAGGCAAAGACAAGTTGCCAAGATTTGTCGGCCATCGGAGTTGTCTCCGTTGAGCGACGGAACGAAGTATCAGAATCTTCCGATGTCGAGATTGGCGACTCGATCTCATGCGAGGACCCGTGTCGAGATGAGCGATATGTACAGAGAGGCGCCTAAAGTTGCCGATTCTGGGTGATGTGCTAATACTGATGAGACGGTTTTCCAATATCCCTCTGACTATCCCATCAACTGCTAGATAGCGTCAGTATATAGGCACGTACTTTGATAGGGGGGATAACGAATAATCTGATAATCCAATCCTATTTCCCTTATATCCGTCTTTGAATAATCACGAAATAGGGCGAAATCAGAGAAAGACTGGAGGTAGATGTCCAGCAGTCAATGGGATACAGAGAGGCGCCTCAGATTGCCGATCCTGGGTGAAGTGCCAAGACTGATGAGACAATCTTCGAATATCCCTTTGACTGTACTCATCAGTTTTCAGACAACGATTACATACCTCCAGCAGTTCTCCCATGGTTCATGTCCAGCTTCCGGTTTACCAGGGAAATTTGCGCTTGTTCAACTTCAGCCTGGCTGGTGTTGGGGTAGGCCAATTGTTCGTAACCATTTCCACGGGGATTTCCAGAGTGGGATTCGGAAATCTCCATATCGAAATGCGCAAATTCTGTCCCACGTAGTCCTGCGAGGTGTATGCCAGAAGGGGGAATCATCTGTGCTCCTGATGTGCCGGTCCTAAAACATTTGCGAGAGAAATGCCATCGAATTCTAGCAGGAGGCGGGAGCAAGACCTAGCGGCGGGTCGTCCCCTGAAGCCAGTCCATAGGATGACCCTGCGGGGTAGTGATGTACAGAGAGTTTAGCCGACCTGGTGGGAGAATAGGTCCGGAGCAACTCCGTCATGAGGTTGAGGCTTGAGTTGGAGGTCGCAGGTATGACAGGTTGGGGGTAGTCGAGCGAGTCGTTGAGGTTCCGGCCGAGTCGTGGCTTGCGAAGGAGAAACACGGAAGAAGTGTGGCTCGTGCATGGAGCCTGGAAGGAAGTGCCTCCAAAGTGTTTCCTGCGCCTAAGCCAGTGTGGGATACCGGAATTGACCAATCCGAGGTCGGCAGGAGTCAAGCTCACAGCGTATTTCACCCCGCCTCCGGTGCTGAGTCCGCTGTGGCCGATGCCTCTGCAGCAGGCCCAGACCCCGGAGCGGATTCTGCGCACTGGATGGCCGTGGTCTGGTCCCTGGACGGGGTCTCCTGCTGGGGCTGAAGGGGTAAAAATAGCATCAATCTCATGAAATTGTCCGCAGCACCTGCAGACTGCAGGGTCTACGTCGGTGGCTATTCCGGTGGCCCTGTTTCGTTCATTCCGGGGAAATGAATCTACAGTTGACTTTGCTCTGAATGAGAGATCGTTTGTACTTTTGGGGCTCTGGTTAACAGTAGATGATCCACCATTGCACAGCAGGTGAGTGAAGGTGATGGTGGGTAATTGTTCACAGATACGCGGAGAAACCGGTAACAAACTGCCGTCCATTCCTCATCCGGAGGGCCTTGTCGTTTTCTCCCTGATGCTCCATCTCTCTCCCATGTCCGGGCCATGACAGGGGTCGTGGATCGGTTAATCCGTCTTCAACTGAAGTGTTTTGATGATGAGAAGAATTATCTGAGAGTTTGCGCTACCTCAAGTTTTGAGAAGCCTGATAGTCATCTATGAAGGATCAAGTCATTACATGTAGGTACGCATATTCAGTGAACACTTTCTTTCAGCCTTTTCATAATTAAGACCTGGTTGATGAGGCTCAAATACAGCTCAGTCGAGCCCAGGAACCTGACCATACCTTAATGAGCACAAACGCCTTGGCCCTCCACCATGACCTCATACGCGGATGAAACAGCGCGTTTTCTGAGGAGCTAAGGCCAGCGGCCTCCAACTCATCAGTCGACATGTTGTATATGCGCATGCACTGGCACCTCTGCTATGGGCAGTTCAGCATTCGTGGACGATTAGTTGGACAGGCACTTGGAGACACGATGTGGAAATCAAGACCCAAGAGTCGAGATCAGGGTCTTTTCGTTGGCATTTCGGTAGCATCTGCAGAGGCTACATGTACTAACGTAGCAACCTAACCTCTCTTGGCAAATGAGCAATAGCAAACTTGCTGCTAGTCCCCTGATTCCCGGTTTACCGCCGTCAATCAACAACTCGATTCAGAAATCCGTCGGCGGTGGCGTTCGCACCTTGATTCCCCCCCTTCCTCAAGTTGGACCCTGCAATCGCCTACCAACAGCAAGCCGCGCGCAAAAAAACGGCCTTTCACTCGCCTTGCGCCGTGCGGTGCTCAGTAATACCTATCCCGTAGCGCGGCCACTATCGACGTCGGGGTGGCACGGTGGGTGTAATTGGTAGTTGGAGGCTTGGAGAGCAAACTTGCAAGGTTGAAGAAAACCTGAAAAGAGTGCCCAAGAGGTGAAGTGGGCAGAGAGCCAGGCTGAGTCTCAAGAACCCGTGGTGGTGCGGCGTGCTTTTCCCCTTCCCCTTTGGTCCCCCCAGTCCCCTCGGGTGCCTTCTCTTTCCCAGTTCCTTGGTATTCAACCATTACGAGTACAATCCTGGCCACTGAGAGCTGCTGCGCCTCCTTCCAAACCACCCATCGTCTGCCTACCGTACCTTAGTCTGGTCTTTACCATCCAAAAATTAAATCCAGCTCTTTTTCTTCTTTGGGATCTCAGGACCTCTACATACATAATCGAGCCTACTTCACCCAAAGTCCCAAATCGAAACGGACATCGTTTTCGCGCGATCCAAAAGTTCCGAACCAACATCGCCCAAACCCACCCAAATTACGACGTCATGGCTGCTGTGCCGTCAGATCCTCCACCTGTGGCTACCACCACCACCACCACCACCAATCCTGCCCCGACGAACGGCGATGCCAAGAATGCATCTGACTCCACGGAGACAGCTACGCTTGTCACAGAGCCCAATACCACGATAAAAAGAAAGGAATTGAAGACGGCCCCGGAGCCCTCGACTTCAGAGAACACAAATGGACTGTCTTCGTCGAATGGTCAAGATGCGACGGGAGACGAACCGAAGCCCACTCTACCTCCTCGGCCGACATCAATAGACGCCAGGGAGGGACTGCAGCCTACCGACCAGTCCGTACAACAGCCACCCAACACTGCAACGACAACGAGCACAAAGTCGCCGCGGACCTCGACGACCCAAGGCGCCGACACGGCAGTGACCTCGATAGAAATCGACAACACCAAGCCCGCCGACTTTGAGGGCGAAATCTCCACCAACAACGACCTACCAACACCCCAGGTTCTGAAGAAGATTGAGAACTACGTAGTGCTGGATCGTCATGGCAAGAGCCATACATTCAAGAGCTTATACACCGGTCGTAATGTCGCGAGGCGCGTCCTCGTCATCTTCATCCGCCACTTCTTCTGCGGCGTACGTCTCCTCTTGATCCCTGACCGACCCTTCTCGTTACTAACCCTCCAAAGAATTGTCAGGAATTCCTACGATCACTATCCGAGTCGATAACCCCTGACGCCCTGCTGGGTCTTCCCATGAGCACATTCATCACCGTCGTTGGCTGCGGCAACCCTGGCTTGATCGAGATGTACCTCCAGGAGACCGGCTGCCCCTTCCCCGTGTACACCGATCCCACGCGACGCCTCTTCGACACCTTGGGCATGACGCGCACCCTTGCTCTGGGAGCTCGACCGGCCTACATGCGCAAATCCATGCTCAAGTCTGCTGCCGAGAGCGTCTTCCAGGGGTTGAAGCAAGTCAAGAGCGGCCTGGCCACGAAATCTGGCGACCACAGGCAAGTCGGCGGCGAGTTCCTTTTCGAACCACTCGAGCTCGTCACACCCGTCTCGACACCATACGCCGAGCGGCAGATCGAGGAAGCCATGACATCAAAGAAGAATAGCATCGACAACAAGGAGGGCATCGACGGAGAGGGCGGTGACGACTTTGAGCCGGAGGAGAAGAGAGTTACGTGGTGCCACCGCATGCGCTCCACACGAGACCACGCCGAAATACCCGAGCTGATGGAGATTCTCGGCCTCAATGGGTCCGGAAAGCCTCCTGCTCACGAGAATAAGCGGTGGTCCAGGGCGCTGGAGACGAGGAAGGGAACCGGGCTGAGCATGGCTAGCCAGATGAGCAAGCTGAGCGAGCAGGAGCGGGCATAGGAGCGGCGAGGCTTCTTTTGGGTCGTTAAGGGGTCAGTGCGATCCGTCGTTCGCCAAGGTCCTGAGAATTGGGGGTGAGTTACCGGCGATGAACGGATCCAGGCCGTGCCGCGTGGTGCATTGATGAGACCGAGCAAGCTGCCGAGTGGTGTTCTCGTGATTTTATTTTACTAGGGCTGAGATCAGCATAGCCGCTCAATGATACCTACAGCATACGTCACACTTTGCATTTCCATGACAGAACCGTTGATGTGGCAGAGCGACGGACCTTACGTCTCTTCGATTACCACGTTCCAGCGTGGAAAGATGTGGTTGAATCTACTCGACGAGGGCAGATTCCTCGTCTCATGGAAGAGATGAAGTGAGCTACAAAGTTTGACCTCCATCTAGATCATCCAAACTCGGGCACAACTTTCTATCGCTGTCCCGCGTATCAGTGACAAGTTAAGGCTCCTTTGGTTGCAACCTGCCATACGTCTTCTTCACCATTCTAGGGCACGTGAAATGAGCAGGGGCAAGTACGATGAAATAGGTCCTCAGACCGTATCGCCAGATGAACCAATGTCAGTCTCGCCTGCTAAGTAGATACCTCGCATCCTTCCGGCCGTCTTAAGTACCTTCGCTCAACAAGACACCTTCCCGAAAAAAGACACATCGTTCTATTTTTTGAGCTCGTATGGGCGTCGCTCTTATCACGAGAAAGTTGAATCGAGGCAGCAACTTTGCTCTCCTCCTAGGCTTCTCGTCATTGCCTTTGCCGTCGACAAAAATGTCTCAAACTCGTCGCCAATCAGGCTTTCAAGGCCATCTCCATACACACAAAAGGCCTCTGAGCCGGCCCGAATGAAGTCGCCGCAAACCTCGGATCCTTCAGGGCCCAGCCTTTTAGTCAATACCAATGTCACGAGAAAGCCTGTTCCGCCCCCGCGACATGTGCGTCCAATCGGGCGGGAACCCTGAGTCTTCTAGGAGCGTTCCTGTCACGATAATTGGTAAGCCACTAGGCTCTCATGTTCTTCTTTCTTATTGCCTACTTTGGAGAATGCATGTTGCCGTGGGAGGTTGTCAAAGTGCTAAGCTTATATTTAGAACATGCAAATCTGGGGAAATGGTTTGGCTACCTGACTAGGGCGTACATTCGTAAGCTTGGCCCGAACAGTAGGTTCTTCAGATTCCCGGTAGGATATTACGGGCTTTCAGCTGTCAGCTTCGATCTAGCAGGGCTGAGCAATAACCCACCAAGTGGACAGGGCGTGCTGACGGGCTTGAGATCCTCAGCCCGGGTTCCTCACTTACCGCGAAGCGGCACTTACGCAAAATGGAATAGGCAAGAGAAAAGGCTAAGGGATCTTCTCCGAGAGGTCCTGTTCATACGGCTTTCCCAGCAGCGGAATTGCAGAGTCTGTCAAGTCTCTGCGGGCCTTTTAGTGAGGCGGAGTCGTGTCTTTTGCCTACTTACCTTGGTAGATGGCTTGAGGTTGTTGGCCTCGTGATGTCCGTTGTAACACCCGAGAGCTGAGTGCTAGATGATCGTGACATCTCTCTCTCTTGCTCTCCGTCAGCCGCGATGTTGTCTCTCAACTCGTCTCCGCCTGCTGAGATGTCGGGCGCAGCAGCTGACGATCCTTCTCCAACGCATCGTGATGGCCAAAGGGCTTCTTCAGCACATAGAGAATGACGATGGGAAGGTATCTATAAATCAGGATGCTTCCCTCATCTTCACAAGACCTTCTTCTCATCCACACCGTCATCAACAGCTTCAACTCCAGCCTAACAAGCATACCAAACTCGCTACCTCAAGCCTTTACCTCGATATCACCAACCACCTTCACCAAACGAAACCTTCTTTACCAATCCAATAATGCAGCTCACATCCATCCTCCTCCCCGCCCTCGCAGGCCTCGCCACAGCCCGCTCAACCCCTTCGGAGCGCCGCCAAACCTCCACCCCAGGTTGCCGCCTCGTCGCCCCTACAGACCTAAACTTTGGCGTCGCCGACCTCCGCTCCGGCACCGTCGTCACCAAAGTCCTCACCTTCCCCGTCGGTCCCACCGCCGCGGGACCCTGCCAGCTCGTCGGCGCCTTCAGCCAAGGGTTCCCCATCGACCAGGGCGGCGACGCTTTTGCCCGCCTCAACGTGCGCGCGCTGGACGGCCCCGCTGCGGGCAGTTTGGTGGGTAGCTTTGGGCCGCTTGAGGTGGCGAATGATGCTGTTGTCAAGGATACCGTGCAGGTCGTCAACAGCTTCTCGTGCCGTGAGAGTTTGGCTTTCGAGTTTGCTGTTGCGAATGATGCGGATGTGGATGTTGATATCAATGTTACGTTCACGGCGTCTGAGCTTGGAGGGTTCTTTGTGCAGGTTGGGGACCAGTGCAACTGAGCGAGTATGCTCGGCATAAGCCTTGGATGAGGCAGTGGAGTGTTGCTTCTCTGCTTAGATGGTGGGATTAGGTCTTTTGATTTTGCATTGGAGGAGCGCGTATGTACTCGGGTATAGCATGGTGAGCGGGCAATTATTGGCTTGGAAATCTGTCTTCTTGAATTTTACTGGTACTTCTACCAACTAAACCATTCTGTCCTTCAGAGTCTCTGATCCTTCGTGAGCCTTTATTGATCCATCCGTATCCTTAGTATTCTCTCAGCTCATCCTTTTCCCATCATCTCTCTTGTGTCTGTGCCCGCCACTTTTCTTACTCTTCCATTGCCAACAAGCAACTTGGTCCTACTGCCATGTAGCAATATGACGGGGAAACGAGCTCGAAGTTCGTCAGATAGAAACTGCCAAAAGCAGCAAAAGTGGGCCAGAAAGCTCTGTGGAAATTGAGTATCGTCCTTGGTACGCAATCTGTTAGTCTTTTGATCGAGAAGAAGATGGGAGAATTGACCATGTGCCATTGAGAGGTAGCTGTGGCGCCAAGTACTCACATTCAGTAGTTAAGTAAGCACACTATCAGCTTTCATTGCATCTCTTCCTCTGCTTTCACAGCAAGAAAAGGTGTCTAGGAAGAGTTTACCTTTCCTGCAAACACAAGACTTGTAGACGATAGACCGAGTCACGCTGAGAGACTACTTGGTGTCGGCAGGCTTCTCATCGACGGACATGGTCTCGGCGGGCTTGTCCTCGGAAGGGTTGAACTCGAAAGACTCCATGTTGTCATAGGTAGGCTTGAAATCCTCAGGCTTGCTATTGACAGTGACAGACTTTCCACTGCCAGACTTGTCATCACCAGGCTTTTCATCGGCAGGCTTTTGATCGTCAGGCATCTCATCGCCAGACTTGCCTTCGGCAAACTTTCTGGGATCCTTAAACTTCGCACTGCTCCAGTGGAAGAAGCTATCACAAGACATACAGCTAAACATTCAACCAAGGAAAGGAATCAGAAAAAAACTCAAAATATAGAAGAAGAAGAAGAAGAAGAAGAAGAAGAAGAAGAAAGGTGGTGATTTCCACATATGGTAAAAACTTACCGGACAACATCGCAGCCACCATCAATCTTCTCAGCGGGGATGCGACAGTTGGGACACTCCTTGATGGTCAACCGCGCCATGACACGACGGCTCTGACGCGCAAGCTCCTCCTCAAGCTTTCCCTCAGCCTCCCAACGAGCCCGAATCTGCTCGCAGGTGATGCCCTGGTGGACCTCGTCGCCGCATCGAACGCAGGTGAGCTTGCCGCAGGGGCAGGTACCAGTGTCGTTTCCAGTGCCAGCGTCAAGGTTCGGACCGCCATGGCGGTTACGAGGCGGGATGTAGCGGCCGCAGGCGGCGTCCTGGCAGTAGAGAGCGGCGTTGCGGGGGATCTCATCGGCCTCAGCGGCGAGGTCGAAGTACGTTCTAGCCTCCGCGCGGCGAAGCAGCTGGCGGGCCCAGGTATCAGGGACTGACATCTGAGATCCACAGACGCCCTCGCATTGTGGCCTGTAGAAGGGCTTGTAGAGGCACGAGCGAAGGTAAGCGGTAGCGCACGTAGTGCAGTAGGGAGCACAGCCGCAAGGGAAATCCTTGCGGCTGGCCTTCTTGCAAGCCTTGCCGCAGAGGCAGCAATCCTGGATTTCTTTGCTGCGAGCGTCTGCCATGATGCCTCGAGTGTGGGTAAGTCGAATATTGATGGTTGTTGTTGTGCTGGCAGCTCCCTTAAGTATGGAGGTAAGCTGACGATGGAGTTGGAAAGTGAAGCGTCCTGGAACGGACTCGAGGATTTGATTTTTACAGAAAGATGGAGTCGGGCTCTTCTACCATCCTACAGTGAGCTCTTGTTCCTGCCCTTTGAACGGGTCTTCTTTGAGGGGGACGGCACTCTGTCCGTGGGAGGCCATCGTGAGAGTTTCTCAGGAGGACGGGGACGTGGGGACTTGAGGCCATTAGGGTTTGTAATCAGCCTGTGCCTCGAAGATGGAAGCTTCACAAGCCCGACATGTAGACAGCTTGGCCCGAGAGTGTCTGCAGTGAGCGTGGCCACCAGAAGTAATGAGAATCGAGAGTGCTTAAAATCTTTGGAGTTTTTGGCTTGGTGTGTATGGACATTAATCCTCAAAGGTTATATGGAAACTTGATGCCGGTAAAACAAAGAAGGGCACAAAACAGCAATCGTTGACAAGATATGATGTAAGTGCTGTTGAATTATCTATTGGGGCAATGAGAACATTGGCAATTTCTTTGTGTTATGGGAGTGTTTTGAATCGTCGAGATTTATCGAGCAGCTTGGACCTCCTATTTCCAGATGATTCTTTTGTGCTTTGTAGTTCCTGTAGACTTGCATTATTAGCTCTTACTCTGTCAAGTCCAACAATAGACCAGGAATTCGGATTTTGTCAAGAATATCTACGATGCTTCCGCGGTTGTGAGATATGGACAAAGAGTTTTTGACGCTTAACATTGGATTTTGATGTGTTTGTGACAGTACAAGTTCATCAACATCTTGTGGTCAAGATTTAGTTCCCAGCATGAAACGTTCAAACATCGATACGCAAGCTTCGATCTTTCCCCAAAATATACAGTCGAAATCCCGAGGAAGAAGAACACCTAGTTCAGTGATCGATATCCGCCTGATTGTTTAGTGTAACTAGTGTAACTCGTTTCATCCTAAGATTAATTGCGTCTAGAATATTATCTTGGAATGATACCATATTAAAGAGTCATTGATAGACGAAGTTTCTGGCGGAAACGGGCTGGGAACTCCTACTGATCACCTAAGCAGGATCAAAGCATATTAACGCATAGATCTGATGTCAGAACACAGTAATCCACTGATGGATAAGTTCATGGTTTTTTATTTTGTCTACAACGTCGTCTCTAAGTTGACACAGGCACTTTTCATGGAATCTCAATCCAAATTTGGCCCGTAACCTGGAAAGCGGACTTCGTCTCCATAAGTTGGTATTAAGTGACTCCGGAACCATCTATGGTCAAATTTCTCCTATTTGCTTTTCGTCAGGGAGAATGTAGGATTCAAAGCACATCTCGACATCCAGTGGCAAGAACCCAGACTCCTTTGATCTAGTGAGACGCACTTCGTCATACACAAGCAAATTTAGCTACAATGACATGGCGGTTACTCGGCCGTACTTGAGATATCACGTTGTACTGCGTATACACCGCAGCAGCTTGAGATTTGACCCATGTTACCTCAAGACTTTTCTCAAGTTTGGGCCATGATCTTCTGAGGGCAAGCCAAGACCTTGCCCGATTCAAGGTGCTTCGACTATAAGCCATGATCGACAACGCGGGCCATCTATCGTTAGAGCACTTCGGTTCTACCCCGCAAGATTTAAAACGTCCCCTAGTGGGTGTCTCAAGTACGCTCAGCGCAGTTTGAAAGTCTTCCTCAGATCTTGAGGGGTCATAGCATAAGGGCGGTAGTCTATGCATGCCAATGCCCTCATGCGGGGATTCATAGGTTGACGGCAGAGACAGTCTGTAGCTGAGAGACAAGATCTTACACCCAGGAGGTGGTGAGTAATGACTATAAGTTGTCACTTGTCGCCCCAATATCTACAAGGGTTCACGTTGAACAGACCAACATCAGTGTTAGCCCCGGCTTCCCCTCTCAAGCGGTCAAGCTTATGTTTGCTTCTTGGCTAGTTTAGTGTGTAGCTTCTGAGAGTAATCTTTGGTTAACCACACCTTTTCGAATGCAACATTACGGCAATGTGTCATTGGCTTGGACTCTACCACAGAAATCCCACGAAAGTCACCATAAGTCTTGCCGCACTGAGGTCAACGACTAGACAATCCCTGCAGCCGGATGGTAGCATAAACAAGGCGCAGCGACACGGCTGCCAGAGGTTACATCCTCATACGTAAAAGGATGAGCTGCAGTTTCCTCAAGTTGCTAGATCCATGCCGTTGACAAGGCAGCCAATCCGGTATTGCTCTATGTCTATCAACCCCGCAGCTATGCCACACTACCTAGACTTTGATCGTCTGTCTTTCAGCTGAATCAACCTGACAACCACGTACCGTTCAGCTATGTTGATCACCTTGGAAAAGTAAGACGGGCATAATATTGCTCCTTTGCATCGAGTATCTGATGAATCGGCTTGGATAACAAAAGACTGGATCATGTAGTATTGTCAAGAAGCTTATAAAGGCCATGGGAAAGTCAAGTAAACAGTCCTCTTGATCAAAAGGCTCAGAACCAGCCAAGTACAGCTGTTGATTCGTACATGAGCTAGACTGAAACGTTGGAAACAAGAGTAAGTCCCCCACTATAAAAGCCTCGTTGCGACCCGAAAGACGACTAACTAACTTTACGTTTCAGGACTTACAAAAATGCGTTTTGCCACCTCCATGACCATTTTCTTCCTTGCCGCAGCCGCCCAGGCCAGCGTCGCCCAGCAGGACGAACCTTACGCCATAGCCGCGCGGGCCGACACGGACGAGCCCGTGGCCACGCTGGAGAAGAAGGAAGAGACAGGTTTGGATAAGAGGGCCTGCAAGTACAACGGGTGCAAGTGCGACAGCAAGAACAAGCAACTCACCGTCTGCGGCAACTGCGTCTGGAGCCGCGACAGAGGTTATGTCGTGACGAGCAAGAGGATCGCCAATCACATTTACGAGTGCTCGCCCAGCGGCAGATGCTGCGACTACGGTGTCGCCCATGACTGCGGCTCCCTCTCTGCTCGGTGCATTGTGAACTAAGTGGGTGGCGGCCACTACACTTATTGTCTGAAGGGGTCAGAGAAAGGAGGAGAATGAGCTGTCATCTCGGGTTCGCGGCAAAAGTTGTGTTTGAAGGTGTCGTCTCAAGTCTGTATTTACCTCGAGTCACTCGCTCAAGTTGGCTTAGATCGTGGGATTTGATTCACTGAAGTTGCAGAGGAAACAAAAATCGGTAAAAAACCATTGGAGGCAATTATAGTTCCATGCAGGAGTGAAGTGCGTAAAGTTGCATGTTCCTGGTTCGAGACACTTATAAGGCAAGACGAGGCGAGTTGAGCCTAAAAATAGGGTATCAAATGACGTTGTGACGTGTAAGAGAAGCAAACTTAGCCGACTTGAACCACGATCTGCCGCGTGCAACCCGCAGCCTAGTCGCAGCCCACGGGTAATAGGCGTCTGGAACCTTGTAATTAGCAAGGCCGGAGTTGCAAGAATACGCGCCTCCCATGGTGATTTTTGATGAGGGGTGGACCGCTTGGCCGCAGACTTGGCTTTTTTCATTGTTCCCATTGCCCCCTGGGGATTTGCGACTCCAGGACCTGAGAATAAACGGTTGGTTTTTTGCTTGGACCAGACGAATCAGGTGACTGCCTTCTACCTCCGTACCCGAGTTTTGGGAAGATTTTTTCACCGCGCCTGGCGGAAAGCTCTTACCAGGTGAAACGGGATTGGACATTGCATCCCTTAAAGGGGGCAACTCCCCGGTTAACGACTTACGGGGGCTTACCCCGCGCAGTTGCATTTACCAGGTGGGGTTCAAAATCTGTGTTGCTCCCACCACCAACTTCACATCACACGCGAAATCTAGTATGCCAAGATGGCTGCCCAAGTTCCCACAGAAGCTTTGAAGAAGCTCAACGGTATGGCGCTCATCGCCTTAGCTATCAGCTATTCGCCCGTCAAGTCCGGATCCCTAGGCTAATCAATGATTTTTTTTCCAACAGTGGGAGAGCCTGCGACGAACGGCAAGGCAGCGAAGCCCGCGGAGGGAAATGGGGTCGACCACGACAGTGACGATTCGGATGAGGAGGGCGAGGATGTGACGGCACCCGCCGCCGGCGGAGCGGCCAAGAAGAAGAAGAAGAACAAAAAGAAGAAGAAGAAGAAGTCCCCGACCGCCCAGTCCGACCCGCCGCGCGTGCTCATGTCTTCGCTATTCCCCCAAAAGAACTATCCCAAGGGCCAGGAGGAGGAGTACCGCGACGAGAACCTCTACCGCACGACGAACGAGGAGAAGCGCCACCTCGACAACCTCAACAACGACTTCTTGACAGACTACCGCGAGGCCGCCGAGATCCATCGCCAGGTCCGTCAATGGGCGCAGAAGAACATCAAGCCCGGCCAGACCCTGACTGAGATTGCCGAGGGCATCGAGGACGGCGTGCGTGCGCTAACGGGACACCCGGGTCTCGAGGAGGGCGATGCGTACAAGGGCGGCATGGGCTTCCCGTGCGGCCTGTCCCTCAACCACTGCGCGGCGCATTACACGCCCAACGCCGGTAACAAGATGGTGCTCTCGCAGGAGGACGTCATGAAGGTCGACTTTGGCGTGCACGTCAACGGACGCATCGTCGACAGCGCCTTTACCATGGCCTTTGAGCCGCAATACGACAACCTCCTCGCGGCCGTCAAGGACGCGACCAACGCCGGTGTCAAGGAGGCCGGCATCGACGTCCGCGTGGGCGACGTCGGCGGCGTCATCCAGGAGGTCATGGAGAGCTACGAGTGCGAGATTGACGGCGTGACGTACCCCGTCAAGTCGATCCGCAACCTCAACGGTCACACGATTGAGCGCTGGAGCATCCACGGCACCAAGAGTGTGCCCATTGTCAAGAGCAACGACACGACAAAGATGGAGGAGGGTGATGTCTTCGCCGTCGAGACGTTTGGCAGTACGGGTAACGGATACGTCAGGGAAGATATGGAGGTGTCTCACTACGCCAAGCGTGGAGAGGGCCATGCGGCGCTCCGGTTAGATTCGGCCAAGAGGCTGCTGAACGTCATCAACAAGAACTTTGGCACCCTGCCTTTCTGCCGGCGTTATCTGGACCGTCTAGGACAGGACAAGTATCTCCTTGGTGTAAGTTGACATCTCAACCGTTTACTGAAGACTATGCGCTGACAAATAACAGTTGAACAACCTTGTTGCCAGCGGCATCGTCGAGGCTTACCCGCCCTTGTGTGATAAGAAGGGCTCCTACACTGCTCAGTTCGAGCACGTAAGTAAACACTTGCTGTTGTTTGTCTGGTACCACGCTAATTCAACTCATCCAGACCATCCTGCTCAGGCCAAACGTGAAGGAAGTAATCAGCCGAGGAGAGGATTATTAGGCGGGGTGAAACCGGCCAAGGATGGGTATTGGCATGGGTTTTCTTTTCACTTATCGAGACTATCGTTCAGATATACATAAAAAATCCAAGCAATCGAATCCAAGATCGCTGTGTCCACGACTCTGTTGTGTGTACATGGTTTTATTAAATTGCTCTTGAACCGCTCTCGAGAGCATAGCAGCATGGGAGGAAGGACGTTAAAGCCCATTTGGGCGGTTCGTGATGACGAGTGATCCTGCTTTGGGGCTGTGTAGCTGTCTCTGAAAATTCGGTCCCGCGAAATCAAATCAGCATCGTTCGCACACCGCCCACGAGTGATATCATACAGCACTGGTGTGCTCAAGTACGTCTTTTACAATTTCATCACGATACCATAGAAAAGCTGGCAGTCTTGAGGTTTGTGGATTGATCAAACCCTCAACATTACCATTATTCCATTTCTGCCAAAATGTGACGGCCCCATTACCGGAAACCCATCCCGCAGCCGGGCGTGACGGGGCTCGCCATAGTGGAGAAGAGGTCCGACACAATCATCCGGAACGGATCGCTCGATGGATAGCAGGGCCGGTCGCCGTGCATATCGACGGCCTTCCATCTCCGTGTATGATCACCTGCGGTGTGCTGCGGTGATGTCAGATGCCGTCACCCGGGGCCCGGAATGGAAACCGATCGGAGCCCACAGATGAAGACGGGCGCCGGGCGAAGTGGATAGAGCCACACGGAACCCAGCGATTGCCTTACTAAGTACCCAGCCGGAAAGGACCCCTGCGCCACTTGAGGCTGAGGTATGTCAGCATGGCGTCAAGCAGAAGCATTCAGCGGCAAGATCATAGGCCGATCCAGAACCGACGACCCACTCATTATATTTCTTTTCGCCCCCCAAGACTTTGTCTGGCGCAGCGTTCACTGGTCGGCGAACTGGAACTCGAAAGTCCACTTATTTCTCCACCGCCAATCCGCGCATCTGTGTTTCTCTAAGGGTCCGATCGGCGGCGTCCAGAAGCACGGAGAAGGGACACGACAGCTTCATCCGATATCCACCTCGGATAGCCGATAGCGTAAGAGGCGTCGGCCGCGGGTCGGCTGTCGGAGCTGTAGCAGGGAAAGGCCTTGGCGGGAACCTGCTTTTCATCGTCTCTTCTTCGTCACCCTCTCGGGCTGGGCGAAAAGTGTATTGCATGTGTGTGTGTGTGTGTGTGTGTGTGTGTGTGTGTGTGTGAAGAGGAAGAGCTTGGGCCTAGGTAGTCTCCCACCTCGCCGGCTTAACTTCCTCTGGATAACGGGAACGGTACGGGACAGCAGCGAGTAGGTAAACGGCGTTAGGAAAGAGGAGAACCGAGAAATTCCCATTCGCGGATCCACCTTTAGGCCAATCACATGCAACCAGCGATTTCACGTCGGCGGCCAGCCCGCGTCGCTGGGCTTTTGGTGTCCCCATCCCTTCCCCCCTTGTCTCCGACGTTTTCCATCTCCATTGACGCGGTCCATGCGCGCCATACCCGAAACAGGCAGCTAGGCGAGACAGGAGGCCCCAAGCCGAGCCAGACAGCGCGCTCCCTGCGGTGGAGTTTTCGTACGTGCCTCACCCTTCGCTGCGAGTTCGCACGCGCCACCCCGAATTCCCATCTTTCTCCGGGGCACCGGCTGGACCACTGGGAAGGAATGCGGCTGCTGCACCTGCCACCAAAAGTCCACAGAGAAATTTCCAGCATGAAAAAACAACCTTGTGGGGGCCTTGATGCCTTGGGGTGAGCGTTTTGCCACGTCGTAATTGGTCAGATCAGCTTCCTAAAAAACCCGCACACGACACCCGCTCCACCCTTCGGCCTACCGAAGCTCGCTGCTCTCGGTTTTTTTTTTCTCGCACCCCCGTCCGGTTTCCCGTACTAGCAAGGTTCACCTATTATTTTCGCATCCCTTATATTAACAATTGTCTCCCTCTTCCTCCATCCTTCCCCCAAGAAAGAAAGTTGACTCATCACTGTCGCTTGACGATAAACAAATAAACAACAAGATACCAACAAGTTTGACTCGTTCCTATTCACGAATTCCCACGGCACCCATACGATACCCCCGAAACCACACCCCGAAGAAGATAGAGGCATAAACGAAAACAACGACAACGTCGAAAACTTTCCCGCCCGCTCCATCACACGAGCTTCTACCTCCTACGTTCCCGCAAATTGATACCCAGAAGTAATACCAAACCACCACTAAAAAACTACATTCAAGATGAAAGTCTTCTCCAACGCAGTAACCTTCAACTACTCCTGGGAAGAGGTCTCAGCAGCAAATTGGCGTAAATACTGCCCGTGGAACGACAAGACGACGCACGTAATCGCCGTCGACACAATCGGCCGCAGTGTCGACCCAGCCACGGGAATTCTCCGCACCGAGCGCCTCATCACCTGCAACCAATCCGCTCCCAAGTGGTTTGCCTCCCTCGTCGGCGGCGGCGGCGGCGACCCGGACGTCTCCCACGTCTTTGAGACCTCATACGTCGACCCGGCCAACAAGACCGTCACCATGGTCTCCCAGAACCTGACCTTCGCCAACCTCATCTCCGTCCAGGAGTCCGTGGTCTACAAGCCTGTCAGCCCGACGCAGACGCAGTTCGTTCAGGATGCGCAGATCACCGCCCTCTGCGGCGGCTGGCAGCGCATCAAGAACGGTATCGAGGACCAGTGCGTGTCGCAGTTCCGCAACAATGCGCAAAAGGGCAAGGAAGGGTTTGAGATGGTTCTTGCTATGAGCAGGCGGGTGTTTGCTGAAGAGCGCGAGCGCGAGATGCGTGTTCGCCAGGGCGCCATGGCAGCATGAGCCATTTGATGATGGGGAAGAAGTTACGAGAGTCGCTTCCACGATGACTTTTTCCTTCCTCCCATCCTGGTTTGCAACATGACATTGGCGTTATGCAGCGTTCCTCGTCATTTTTTACATCTTTTCTCAACAAGCGGGCAGCATCATCATCATCAAAAGGATTCGGAAAAAGGGTTTTTAGACGGCGTTCAGACATCAGATTTTTCTTTCCCGGGCCAGGGCCAGGCCCAAAGACGGGGTGAAGGACCTTTCCACTCAACTCACTCGGGTTTCGAGAGGACAAGTCTTACCACCTACGCAACTGTACAAAGACTTTCGGCGTTTTGAGGAATATCCCTACATGATAGAGCATCCGGGGGGTTTCCCCAGACGAGACATTTCTTTCGGTCCCCCTGGGACTAGAATTAGAGTGTTTTTTAGAAATAATAGACCCCTCACAAATGATCAGCAAGCTTTATTGCCGCAACATGGAAATGTCCCCCGTTTCATCGTGATTCAGCAAAATGCCTTTGTACTTTTCGACCAAAGCGAACTCTAAGTTGGGACTAGGAACCACTTGTGTGGCATACGGAGACATATGTCCTTCAGTTCTCCATCCGGCCCCGGCACTTATCCTCATACCGGGTCAGCGTCTCCCTGGTATCCCTATCCATCGCCGCCTCGCTCCCGTCCAGGACCCGCCTCGCAAACGCCGCGGCCTCGCCGAACCGGCGGAGGAAGTAGAGCTCTTCCACGGCGTGCAGGAGTTCCTGTAGCACGGGCTTGCTGGCCTTTTCTGTATTGAGCGGTAGTTCGATGGTCTTCCAGATCTAGCACCCAGTCATCGAAATTGTCAGTCGGGATCTTCGTTTCGTTGGAAGTCTTTTTGCTGCAAAGGCCGAGATAGAGGGGTTGTCCGCGGTCCAGGGTCCGCCGAGTGGAGAACCCGGGTGGCTTTGCTTTGATCGGGAGTCCATCCGAGCTTCGAAGGGACTACCAGCAAAAAAACAAAAACAAAGAGAAGGATACGAAGACCGAAAACCACCCCCTCGCATACTCCATTCGAAGGCATGAACAAGAAAAAGCCGACAAAATGGGATACACATTGTTCCTGTTCAGAGGATAATCAAGAAGCAAAGGAAATAGTGACTCACATCGCCGTCCTGCACCTTCACCCGATATGTCGCCCTCAGCGCTTGGAAGTCCTCTTCCGATTGCCAGTCTCTGGGCTTCTGCACCTCCTCGTCCGAGTCATCAATGGCGATGTTGAAGAGGTCGCCTTCTTCGTCAGACATTTTTGCCTCTTCTCTCAGTGAGTGTAGTTTGACTCTTGAGTGTGGGTAGAATCTAGGGTAAAGCAAAAGGAAAAGTCCCCGAAATTCTGTTAATCCCCTTTTGGAGGCTTGGGAGTGAATTTTCTTCGGTCGTTACGACTGGTTGGGCGGATTCGTAAGTCGACGATAAGAGTTAACTAAGTGCCGGCGTTCAAAATTCTGGAGAAGACAGGCGTCCGATGAAAATGAACCCCACCCCGATTACTCCGTGTCGTGAGTCCAGGTGGTATCCAGTTCACCGATGAATCGTTAAAAAGATATTTGATCCGTAACCGTAAGAAGCCCGGCCGCTGCAACTCGGAGGAGACTGACTGGCAGGACTGTATGGGATTATGCAACTAAAAGATGCAAAGTATGCCTGGAATGCAAATTTTTTACAAGCAAGTCCTACCGAAACGGTTTCCCCAACATGACATCAAGCCGCATGGCGGGGTTAGTGGGGCCGTCACTTGCACATAGCGGGCCGAGAAAGCTCGAAAGCTGTTGAAGCTTGAACCTCATCCGTCCACCCCGCCCTGCCCCCGTCCCCATCATTCCGATCTCCCGTCCCGTTGAACCTTTAATTGACCTCAACCTGGTTGTTCCACACATACACGAACGAAAAATATAGAGACTTTTCTGTGTTTGTGGAATTAAAACTTGGTAAAAAATGGAGCAGCAGGTAGCTAGGCTCGTAGAAAAGGCATGGGACAAGTTCCAGAAGACGCCTGAGGAGAAACGCCTCTGTGAGTTTACGCCCTTTCATGCCATATTATAGAGCTACCTAGCCCGCGTCATGGGTCTTCCTACTCCCTGTGAGCCCCAGCTCCATTACAGGTCCACGATGACTTCAGCATTCATCCCATCAATCTTCTTTATAAGTGCACAACATAAGACTGACATATCCAAGTGATAGGAATATCCGGCATCCCGGGCTCAGGTACACACCACCCATCACCCTCTCTCATCCCTAACCTACCATCTAACACCCCAAGCAAGGCAAAACGACCCTCTCCCAAATAGTAACAACCCGCCTCAACGCCCGCGCCTCGACCCTCGACCCCTCAAACCCAACGCGTACATCCCACCCGCCAGCAGCCTTCGTGCCCATGGATGGCTACCACCTCACCCGCGCCCAACTCTCCGCCATGCCCAACCCAGAAACAGCCCACGCCCGCCGCGGCGCAGCCTTCACATTTGACGGCCCGGCCTTCCACAAGCTCGTCACGTCCCTCCGAGAACCCCTCAGAGCCGATGCCTCGCCGATATACGCCCCGAGCTTCGACCACGCCGTCAAAGATCCTAAGGAGAACGATATTGCTATTCAGCCGTACCACCGCATCGTCGTGTTCGAGGGAAACTACCTGACACTCGACAAGCCGCCGTGGAGCGACGCCGCGAAGCTCATGGATGAGCTTTGGTTCGTGGACGTAGATTTTGAGGTGGCGAGGAAGCGTTTGATAGGGAGACATGTCAAGGCAGGTATTGCCAAGAATGAGGAGGAAGCTGATAAGAGGGCAAGGGACAACGATTTGGTGAATGGGAAGGAGATTGTCGACTTCCGCTTAAAGGTCGACGAGGTTGTTCTTAGTCGAGAAGATGACGAGTGGAATCACGAATGAAAAAGTTGCGGTAATTTGTTCAGTCAAGGCTAAGGGGGTCTTTATTACTCGCTGTCGACCCTCTATCGTGCCGGAACTATGTTAAGGCCCAGTTCTGTTCCCTTCCCATCACGTACTAACCGACGCTTGTGCTCAACCAATTTGATGGAAATTGATGGAGACCTGCATCCTTAACGTCACCCGAGATCACATCCTCGTGGCCTCGTCTAAACCCAACTGCCTATGCAACGCTGAGAACTATCCCCCCCCTTCCCCACATCCCCATTTCACTCGGCCGTAGCTCCCGTGAAGCTACCAGGGAACTTAGCTGCGCTATAGCCGGTAGCGAACATCGAGCCTCCCAGTCCCCGACGCGTACGAGGCTGGTCGCTGCCATGGCGAGGGACTTGACCATGGATGTTGGGCTGGAACGGCTCTGCGTTGGGCGAGAACGCTCCACCAGCTTGGTGAACTGGGCTGTTCATGCCCATACTCTCTCCGGGATTCGGAAAGCTGATGTGGTACGTGACCGTTACAGCGTGAAAGACGCCCGTCTGAAACATTCCAGGCATCATGGCCTGGGGGTGCATCAGAGGCTGCATCTGGGTCACGTGGTGCACCTGGCCTGGCGCCATCTGACCGGGCACCATCTGCGGCACAGGGATGCCAGAGGGTATGGAATAGCCTGTGGGGTTGGGCTGAGCCGCAGGGGCGGTCTCGGGAATGTTCACAGGAGCAGGCGCCGGCGTGGTGACGTCTGGCTCAGCCTTGACGGGAGCCTCGAACTCAACCGCTGAGTCATTCGAAGCGTTAGACATCGCGTCTCTCTTGTCCGATTCGGCAGTCTTGGAAGGAATCGGAGGCTCCTTGGGAAGAACATCCTGGGAAGCATTCTGGACATGAGCATGCTCGATCTCAGTAGCGGCACCCGTAACGACCGGGTTGGTCGACTCAATGATAGTTTCATCAGGCGCGACTCCCCTCGCAGCATCATCTCCAGGAGCTTGGATGCTGTCAATGGACGCCTTAGGAATGCTGCTTACGACTTGCATCTGGGAATCGAAGTCAATGTCAACCTTGGTTTGGGGTGCCTCAATGGCTTCCAGCTTGACTCCACTGTCCGTCTTGTTCTCTTCCTTGCTGTCGGTGTTCTTCTCAAGTCTGATCTCAGTCGATTCCTTGCTTGGCATTTGAGCTCTGGCAGACTTGGTAGGCGACTGCGCAGTAATAGCGACTGTCTTGTGGTGGCTGATAGCTTCATACAAGCCAGGCATCGAAAACTTCGAGACACTGTCGGTGCTTGTCTGTGTCTGCCTAGTTCTTGACATCCAGTTGATGGCCTTTTGGGTGTCGCGAATTGACTGGGAGGCTCGAGGTTGCTGCAAATGAGGCGGCAGACGGACTCCATTTCGGCTGTCCTTTTCAAGAGGGATCTTGAGGTCCTTGATTCCGGCAGGGGCTTCAGCAGAAGAGCGTCTCTCAAAGAGCTGTTCAGAGCTATACTGAACCCGAGGCGGACGGTCCGTGGTGTACATGGGGGAATCCTTGACATTGGTGAGCTTGAGATTGCTGAATGCATCCGTTAAGTCCTCCTCGCTATGATCCTTCTTCATGCGCACCGCCTCCGTGACCTTGACGATGGCCTTGGCGGGGGGAGCGGCCTTCGGGTCAGCCGGCTCGACGGGGGCGACGGTGCCCATGTCCACCTCATCCTGAGAAGCAGCCATTTCGCGGAGATAACTTATCACCCTCTGCAGCATGTCCGCACGCTGAATGAAGTCGGCAGCCGTCTCGGAGTCATCGAACTTGAGGCTGTATCGCGTCGGAAAACCCAACCCGGAAGCCCCGAAACTGACGATGCACAGGTGGTTCTTGTGAAAGTCAAGAGTGTAGTCGGTCATGCTGTGGGTTTCGTTGAAGACACCAGGGCATGCAACGACACATATGGCGTGCCCACTGGGGTGCTCGTCAGACTTGATGGTCTTCATTTCGATGAGAACATCGTGATCTTTGCCTTGAACCTGAGCCTTGCAACGGCCAGTCCAGTAGGAGTCGGAGCTCTTCTTGTCAGTCAACTGAGGCTGCTTTGTGGTATCTTCAGATGGCTTCTTCTCCTTGCCCTTGACACTAGAAGTGTTGTCCGAAGCTGGCGTGGGGGCTTTGATGGCTGTGCTAGGAGCGACAACTGGGAGGCTCTGATTGCTCTTGGTTCTCAGATGAGGAGGCAAGGGCTTGCTGGCTCCTGCAGTAGGTTCGACTCTAGCAGTGCTAGAGCCTGCGGTAGCTGGCTTGGCCGTGGAAGGTGCGTCAGGCGTGATGTTGTTTCCCGTGGTCTTCGCGCCAGGCTCTCCAACAACTTTCAAATGGAACCGATAAAGCTGAGAGCCAGGGGGCATCAGAATGCCATTCTGGCTTGTCTGCATGCCTTGGAAGTTGGCCGTGCTTTTATCGTTAGTCAAGCTTCTACCAGAGGAGAGAAAACACCTACTTGGATCGGCGATTCTCGGAAAGGTTTCTGGCCGGACCAGCCCCAAGGGTGGGACGATTGACGTTGGGGCCACCTAGGGTAGGCAGCTGTCTAGCAGCCATAGCTTCAGCATCGTCCATACCTGTCTCTGCGAGCGCTATCATCTGAATTAGTCGGGCTCCTATCCTGTTAAATAAATGGGGAAAGCGTACCTCGGTAGCCGTTGAGAGCCTCAGTATTCTCCACGTGGACAGGAGCGCGGCGAGCACGCGGCGGGATGACATGGCCTTTCGGGGTATCGTCAAGAGGCAACTCATTGATGCGATCCATACCGAGGTCGGCCTTCTCAAAGTCAGTCACACAGAATCAAAACGATATCCGGGTACAAGATCAACGACTAACCATCATTGCACGCTGGACCAGCTCTTCATTGCTCAGTGACTGAGACGTAGCCTGGACACGAAGAGTCGGCATTTTGTCCGCCTTTCTGTCGACGCCCCAGGATCCCATGTTTGCAGGCAAACGGGAAGTAACTCTGGGGCTTTCCCTTGTTTTGGTGTCGTAATTTGGTTACGGTGTCTGTATCTAGATCTGTCAGAATTAATCGAAAGTTCGAGATTGTGCTGCTCGAGGTAGTTGCTCGGAAAGAGCAGGAGAGTAGGGGAAGAATTGGGATGTAAAATAGTAAAGCAGGAGAAGGGTAAGGACAGAAATGCCACTGATGATGACAACGAAAAATAGGCGAAGAGTGGCATATGGATACGCGAGTAGAGATGTACTGCTTGTCAGAAACTTACTACTGGAGGTTCTTGAACCTTATCGCTGGTTAGGGATTTGTATGGTGCCGTTCCTGATGGATATCGACGAAAATAAGATGAAAGGCAGAAGCCTAGTAAGGGATTTTGCTTGAGCGGTGCAGAAGGAAATAAGTGAGTGATATGTATGGCAGTTTTTGCCCTGATGGGATCTGTGTTGTGGTATGGAAAAAGAAGATTCCAGCGTGTGGGTGTTTCTGAGGAAGGGGAAGAAAGGGAAAAGTGGATGGATGCTAGCAGTACCTAGGGCAAATTGTATGAGGGGAAGAGGAAAGGAAAGTCCTTGCCTTGGGCAGATAGCCATGCCGTCTACCGAATTCGGAAAGAAGACCTGCTCGAGGACGGAGTGAGTGAGCAAGGCCGGAGGCAGGGGCGGGGTGTAGAACCGGGAACCAGAAGTAGCAAGGGCATATTCCACGATACCATGAAGTATGAACACACTGGGGTTAGTGCCTGCTATGTCTGTTGTGGAATAAGGGGCAGGCATGGGGAATTTGAGTGCAGCAGGAAGACTAGCTCTATAAGAGTAAGATGCTTTTCAATAAACGACAGCATTACTGGTCACTAGAAAGGGTTGCGGAAAGAAAAGATTTTTCTGATCAAAAATGCAGATTTCTTTATCTGTGGCTGTCGACTGTAATAACAAGATGCTGCTATGCACTTCCACGAGAATGCATCTCAATCACTTTCGTGAAGGAAGTCCTTGCGCAAGATCTCTGTCTTGGATTTTCGATTCATAATTTCATCAGGAACAGCATATCAACAAACATGGTAATGTCAGTAGTGGTACCAGGAGTGATGGGGTCAGATAGGAACACACCCAGACTTACCAGATGCTGCCATGTGAAAGACCAAGAATGATAGTCATGGCTACATCTGAAGTGTACTTTGCTCGAACATGTAACCTAATATAATATACCAGCATCACATATCAGTGAAGCAGTCAATATATGCCCTGATATAAGAATGGCCAGTTAGATTTTGACGAACTGGTCCAAAACGTATTAGATGCTACCTTGGGTGTTTGTTTGAATTATTCCATATTCTATATCGAGTGACGTCTGCCATGGGATCACGCGAAGTTGAACCAAATGGCAAGACGAGCTGCCAGAAGTCATCCAGTATCTCAGCAGCAGTAGGAAAGCAATCATTCTACAGATACATCGGGGTTGATTGGTAATCTTCGGTTGATCCAAGGATTAGATATACTGCAAATCAATATCTTGCAGTATGACTTCTTGGACCAGCAGTTCGGATACCAATCAAACACTTTTACTTGCAGCAAGCTAAGTGTCGAACTGGCTGGATCCTGCTTAGGTGCATGGCGATGTGAGCAGTTGAATCACGCCAATCTCTAACTATCACTGGACAAGTTTTGTTTGTTGGTAAAGGCAGATCATGCCGATGTCATTTGCTCATATCATGCCGTACTCTTAAGTAGTAATACAAGGCGTGTCCCATCCATCCAGGTACAACCTTTTGGTATATCCATCGCTTAATAAATCCCCGAAAGTCCGTTTATTTCGCAGCATCCTTGGGGACGCCGCTCAAGCCCTCAGTAGCCTGACGACCGACGTTGCTAAGGTCCTCGCTGGCCTTGGAGGCGGGGCCTCTCAGGCCGGAGGTGGCGCCGGTGCCCGTGCCGACGGTGGTCTCGGCATCACCGCCACTGCCGACGTTGACCTTTGTGGCGTCCGCAGAGTTCCAGTCGGAGGCGACGGGGGGCTGCTCGGGGAGGGGCAGGTTGGACTGAACCTCGCTAATCTTATCGGCCTTGGATTGGGTCATGTTGGCGGTGGTTATTTGGAAAAAGGTTCGCTAGAGAGGATGTGAGTTAGCGTCTGTGGCCCTGTGGGTGCTATTGGTTGGGGGCCGTAGCGGCTGGGTTGCAGGGAATGTAGCTCACTGTAGTTGATTCGTTGATGGGGATTTTTCTTAGTTTGATAAGAAGCTGTTGCTGCTGTGACTTTGATGTCGGTCTTGTTTCGTAGTTGCTTGATGTGATGAGGACAAAAAAAAAGAACGTCTTTGTCGAGCTTCAACAGAGATTCTTATACACGAAGCTGGAGGAGGATGAGCTCCAGATTTGGCCAGACTTGAGCTTTCGGAGCCTCTACGGACGCTGACGTCAATTACGTCAAGCAGGTGCAATTGCGGCTCTTTGCGCTCTCCTTTGCCTGGAATCAGTGGAGAACCGTTGACGTCCATCGACGATTGTCGCGGGAAGTGGAGAACAGATGGGCGATCAATGACACAAATTGGCCGGGAGGCTCAGGAGCAAAAGCTCCAGGCGCTTCGATGAGGCAAAAGGCAACACGGAATTGAGGGTCAAAGTGGTGCCTGGGCATGAACAGAGCGTTTTTTACTCAATCAGATGCGTGTTTATTGAGGGGTTGTTGGTATCGGCCGAGTGGGTTTTTCTTGTAAGCTTCTGTCGCCTGTCCTTGAACGCCTTACTCCCAGAGTCCCAGCAAAGCCAACCGTAGAGCCGGTCTGTTCCACTTTCCCAATGTGCAGATGCTGATGCCGTCATGGCCATATCGACGTTTTGATCCACTTCTGTCATCTTCCAGCCTTGTGCCAACCGTTAATCCTTCCCTTCTGCCGCCACCACACGCGACTGTTCTAGCCCATTCTCTTGTCCGTTTCAGCTGAAGTCGCCTTGTCGCCGGTGTCGGGGTTCAGGTAGTCGGAATCCTCCGCCGCCTCATACTCTTGGATCAGGTCTGACACAACCTCGCGGGCCTCGTCGAATTCGTCCAGGTTCTCGGCAAAAGGTGCGGTCTTCTTGTAACCCTCCATGAAGGCATTACGCTTCCGCATGCCGTCGTATTGTCTTAAAATTCTCTTGAAGAGCTGGGAGGTTGTCAGCAAAGCAGGCACATACCAGGGCGAAGATCGTGAAACTTACAGTTGCGATGCTTGTGTGGTTTGCGAGCATCAATCCACTGACGCGGTGGGCCATTGGGATGTAGGGGCTCCGCTTCGTGAGGGCCACTTGAATGCTGGCCGGTCCCCATGGGATAAAAGTTGCCAGTCGTCGTTCCCGGATTCTCAGCAAACTCTTGTGGACGTCCGTCGGATCCACTTCGCCCTGAATGACGTTCAGAATAGAAATGTAGCAGCTCTTCTTTCCCGGTTGGGTTGAAACCATGCGGTTCTTGGGCTGTAGCAGTCTCCGCATGACGTCCAGTACTGTCGTCTTCCGCACAGTCTTGGCCTGCTCTACCTGATCGCCTGTGAATGGTGTATAAGCCGTCATCAAGAAATGGCAGCGGGGCGTGGGTATCAAAGAGGCCAAGATGCTGACCAGATCGTTGTGCATGTAGCCTGGGTATCTGAGTGTTGTCGTGCTTGCTGACATGACGGTCGATACCTACATTGTCCAGGTCAGTCTGAGAGACTCACCTATGGGAGCATAATTCCTACCAGTTGGTTTGTTTGAGCAAACGAGGGCTCCTGAACATGTAATCTGTCGGCTGCGATTCGTGATAGAGCTCCGTTGTCTAGCACCACTACAGAGTCGGCATTCTGCGTTAACCTTCTCATAGCGAGAACACTGTTGTAAGGATGAACGACGACATCTCCTGAGTTTGTGGTGTCAGGGAAGACGGAGTATGTCTGGATGATCTTCTTGGGGAACCGGTCGTTGAGTCGCTCGAGGAGGAAAGAGCCCAGACCAGAGCCAGTGCCGCCTGCGATCGAGTGCAACATCATGAAGCCCTAGAGACAGTAAGCACAGCTCGCACAACCAACGCAGCAACGTTGCACTTACTTCTAGAGAGTCGCTACCATCAGCCTCGCGGTCGATCATCTCCATGATGTCTTCGTAGACCACTTCGCCAGTCTGGTAACCATCACCCCAGTTGTTCGCAGCACCAACTCCATTCTTGCCAACGTAGAAATTCTCCGGGTTGTAGATATTTTTGTAGGGGCCACTTTGGATGCCTTGTATGACCTGTAGCTCCTTAGCAAGAGAGCATTCACCAGCTGGACTCGTAGACGTACCCTTGGCTCTAGATCGACTAGAATAGCTCGCGGGATGTATCGTGTGTCGTCGCTCTGGTAATAAAAGACATCTTTGCGATCGCCGCCTTCAGTAGCAAAGTCTTCGAGGTTTCCGTCCTGGTTGATGCCGTGTTCCTGACAAAGCTGCTGCCAGAATTGGCTTCCAACTGTACGGCATTAGCTCCATTGCCCGCGACTGATGTCCTGTTTGGTGGGGTAAACTGACTGCTGTTGCCGCATTGTCCGGCCTGGACCGTAATGATTTCCCTGTATAACGAAGTCAAAACGAAGTCTTAGCAGATCAGAGGGGCACACGAAGCATACCTTGGCATGTTTGCAGTGTGGCGGCGGCTTTGGCGATGTTGGGCTACAAAATCAGTGACCTTCCACAACCTACCTAAGGTAGCCGTGGTGTTGGACGCGACGATGAGAGCTTATCGATAAGAAGATGCGCGAGACGCGCTCTGAGTGCGTTACGTAAGGTACCTAAGACACGGGCAGTGAGTGGTGCAAGGTTGGAGTGCAAACGGGACGGACGACCTGAGGCGCTAGGATTCTTCTCTACGCAGTCCTGCCTGTGCCACACACCAAAATCCAAGCCACAGTTTGAGAGAGACTCGAATGATGGATCTCCATTTCTCCATTCTTTCATTCACAGTGAAACAGCTCACGCGGACTGCCTAGTCAGGGCCGATCTGTCGTTCTTTGTTCCTTGGCCTTGTCCCTCCGCAATGGGTCTCGGCGGCCTCTCTCTATCCGAAGCGAATAACGGACTTTTCCTCGGATCCCACGTCCGCACCAAGGGTTGAAGTGACAGGGTGCAGATGATATTTGGTGATGAGAATATCCATCTCGAGATACGCGGCCCTGTGGTTACGCATTTGTCACCTTGGAACCTCACTCTCCCTGCGCGATGCGGACGGAGCAGGTACTGAAGCACCGCTATCCCAACATACCTAGACACCTTGGGTGGCCCACGTCTCAGATCTATCCGAACCCCTATTGAACGCCCCCACGGCCCGGACATGACATATGCGCGTAGCAGGCGTATAATAAAAGCCATCGATCCATAATTGCGGGATTTGCGTCGCCTGTAATTGTGGTCATTTCGAGGTCGCACAGTCGATGAAAGTCTGGCTTAGGACGTAATCTGGGCAGAAACGGGCCCCTGTAGGGCTCATGTACATGTAATGTAGGAGCTCAGTCCTTTCCCGTCCGCTTCTGCGCCTTAGCTTCCTTTGAAGCGTCTTGTCTCTGGACTGATCCAAGCGGGAGACACCCACAGCACAGGCAAGTCACATGGAACCGAAACGGCAGGGACGGGCAGAAAATCAGTGTTCTTGCTCAATAAGGTAGATGTTCAACCGCGGATTCGGTGTCAAATGTCAATGGAAGCTGCATCAGCTGCACCGCGCCCAAATCGCAAAGAGAGCCACTGAAGATTTGGGCGTGACATCGGACTAAGGTGGCACGCCCCGGAGGGAGCCGCTAGGTCATCCCCCTGCTCACCCCCCCTTATTCGCCCCCCTATTGGCGCCCATTGGCTCGGAGCCAAAGAAGCAATTAAGCCTCGTCCTCCACCAACGTTGCAACTTGCTGGGGATTTGCAGGCCGTCACAGGGATCACTGGTCCTGGGTCCCTCCCTTACCTTACCTTTCACTGCACCCCATCGCCCTCCCTGTCTCCCCCCAAAAATGCGACGGCCCAAGGTTCCTGGTCTCGAGGATCTGAGGTCCCGTCGTCTGCAGACTGCCCGCCTATCCGTACGGATATACCTGACTTTAGCAGGTCCAAAGATTCAAGTGCACACGACTGCAACAAATCCGATCTTCCATCAACCCTGCAGGGCTTGCAGAAACACACCCCAAGCCCAACCTTTTTTTCTTCTTTCGTTTTGGGCCACATCTTGTGCTTTGGGAAGGTCTGCTTCTTGCCAAACCATCGGATTTTGGAGCAGCTGCCGGTGATCGACCACGAGCGCCGTTGTTGTCTCGCTTTAGCTTCTCGCCCTCGAACCTCCCAAAGGTGACGGGTGTGTCTGATTGTCTCGATCGCAATTGCAGGACATCAGCCCCGATCACCCCTCGACTTGATTTTACAAACGCAACCCCGACCCCTTGTTGGGCTACTGTCTCTCATTTTTGCTACGCCGAGAAAGTCATGCGCGAGGTGTTCACACTGATCCACGACCTACACATCTCGATCCCGCGAGCCGATTTCCTAGAAACATCGACCTAGCCTCGACTTGTCTCCTGCCTCTACAACCTCCCGAGATTCCCGTCACAATGACGGACTCAAGACGAGATGACTCGGTCTCCCCAATGACAAGAAGCCCTCGCGCGGCATCGCCAGCCATCACGAGCCAGCCAGAGTCGCTTGCTCCTCCAGCTCCTCCCCCGAAAGATGGCCCTCCGGCTCCTCCCCCGAAGGATCTCCCGACGCCTAAAGATAACCACACCCCGATCGACTCCACGGTGGAGGCACGAGACTATATCAATGGGGGAGCACCCCATGACAGCGTGTCGCCTGTTAACGACGGAAAGCGGCCGCAGCTCCCAACCCTAAACTCCACTGACAGCGTACGCCAGACTCCTGGCGGCCTGCCAGTGATGCCCGAAGACGATACATACTCCCCTGAGCCAGCTTCACCGACCGATCGCCGAAGCGTACAATTCGCCAGAACGGACCAGGTCCTGGAGGCTCCAGCAAGCCATTCGCGGCAGCCATCATGGGAAGACGGCGGAAAGTCCATTGGCTCTGCCTTCATTTCCAAATTGAAGCAGCTCACTGGGTCTGGTAGCATGCAGACACTCAAGACGAGCAGCTCAGGTAACCTGAACGACAATGGTACGCCGCCGTCCATGGGTAGCTCACCCACCACCGGTCAGTTCAGGTCTAGAATACCTCACACACTTGACGAAGATGGCGGCAGCGATGCGGATGCAGACGTCGAGGAGACGGCTGACGAGGGAGCCACATCGGATGCTGTCAAGCCCAAGAAGAAGAGGAGAATACGCCGCTCAAAGAAGCAAAATATGTCTGTTCCGAGTACCCCCAATTTGCGACATCTACCCGGCCCAGACTCGCCTGTCGGTTACGGCCGGATGGGTTTGCGAAGGCGCATGAGTATGCCAGATCACCCCGAGCAGCAGCACGGCATGTCGGAAGGCGAAGGACGAGACCAGCTTGCGGGACCCTCATGGATGCGGTCCCACAAAGTTAACGGCGATGGCACGGAGAGCCCTGGAGGTAGAAGAATGGGTCATGTCCGTCGCATAACTGTCCTTGGTGGAGGCGGAGTATCAGACGGAGATGCAATCACGCCCAAGAGACCCTTCTTCGGCACCGAACGAGCATCGACCTGGAAATATGTCAAGAACACCCTGAAGCTTCTTAGGCAGAAGAAAGAGGATCGTTTCGATTTCGCAAAGTCAGCAGAGCTCATGGCAGAACTGCGAGCTGGAGCGCCCGCCGTTCTTATGTTGGCCAGCATGATCCAAAGGGATGAGCATGGCAACAAACGCATTCCGGTCCTTCTCGAACAAGTGCGCTTGCGTATTACTGATAGCCAACCCGAGTCCGACGACGACAGCGAGCGACACTGGGTCTTTACGATGGACCTCGAGTACGGCAGCGGCCCAAGTCGAATGAAATGGATCATCATCAGGACTCTCAAAGACATCTACAACCTCCACGTACGATACAAGCTTGCGATGAGCAACGATAAGTACTTGCATGGGCGCGCCGATGTGGGAGCCCGACCCAAAATGCCCAAGTTCCCCTGGGGCGCCTTCCCCTATCTTCGCAGTGCCCGTAATAAGGACGACAGCGAAGACGACGATGACGCAAGCATTCGAGGCGATGATCTGGGAGAGGTCACCGCTGGCGAAGGAACCGCTGCCGAAGGTACTGCAGGAGAGGGTACAGCAAGCGAATGGGAAGGTGGACGAGCTGGTCCTGGTGTTAGGAAAAAGTCCCGCCTCGGCATGCTCGGTATGCGTAGGAAGTCGACCGGATTTACTGAGCCTGGAGACTCGGGTGGCGAGAACCAAGCCGATCAGATCCAGGCTCGCAAACGATACTTTGAGCGTCAAAGAAGGGTTCTTGAGAAGTATCTCCAAGACATGATTCGGTGGTTGATGTTCCGTGCGGACAGTAACCGTCTTTGCAAGTTCTTAGAGCTGTCTGCTCTGGGAGTGCGCCTAGCTGCTGAAGGTAGTTATCACGGCAAAGAGTGCTACTTGCACATCCAGTCCTCCAAAGGCATGGATTTCCGTCGAGTCTTGACACCAAAGAAGGTCATTGCTCGCCATAGTCGCAAGTGGTTCCTCGTGCGCTCCAGCTACATCGTCTGCGTCGAATCACCAGAGAAGATGAGCGTCTACGATGTGTACCTCGTGGACTCCAAGTTTCGCATTGTTTCCAAGAGAAGCACATTAAAACAGTTGTCCAAGGGAAAGACCAAGGCTGAGGAGAAAGAGATCGATCTGGCAGAAGAAGGCGACGCCGAGAAGCATCACACATTGACACTTCATACAGCTGAGCGCAAGGTCAAATTGTTTTCAAGGAACCAACACATCATGAAGCAGTTCGAGGACTCGATAGCAGAGATGCTTAAGCAAACTAAGTGGTATGACACGAATCGTTTCGACAGCTTCTCTCCCGTCCGGAATGGAGTCTTTGCGCAGTGGCTTGTAGATGGCAGAGACTACATGTGGAACGTGTCTCGTGCGATCAGCATGGCCCGAGACGTGATTTACATTCATGATTGGTGGCTCAGTCCAGAGCTTTACATGCGTCGACCTGCAGCTATTAGCCAGAAGTGGCGTTTGGATCGTCTTTTGCAGCGAAAAGCCCGAGAGGGTGTCAAGATCTTCATCATTGTCTATCGCAATGTCGAGGCTGCTATTCCGATCGATTCCGAGTATACCAAGTACTCACTCCTGAACCTTCACCCCAACATCTTCGTTCAGCGATCTCCCAATCAGTTCAAGAAGAACCAATTCTTCTTCGCCCACCATGAGAAACTTTGTATCGTCGACCACGATGTTGCGTTTGTTGGCGGCATCGATTTGTGTTTCGGCCGTTGGGACTGCCCGCAGCACCCCATTACGGACGACAAGCCAACAGGCTTTGAGCACAGCGAGCAACCAAAGGATGCTGAGCATTGCCAGCTTTTCCCTGGAAAGGACTACTCGAATCCCCGTGTCCAGGATTTCTTCAAACTCGACGAGCCGTACGAAGAGATGTATGACAGAAGCAAGGTTCCCAGAATGCCGTGGCACGACATCGCTATGCAGGTCGTTGGTCAGCCAGCTCGGGATTTGACTAGACACTTCGTCCAACGATGGAACTATGTCAAGAGAGGCAGGAAGACAACTCGTCCGTTGCCGTTCTTGCTGCCACCTCCCGACGTGAAGATGCATGAGCTCGACGCCCTTGGGCTGACGGGCACCTGCGAAGTTCAGATCTTGAGGTCTGCCGCCAACTGGTCTCTCGGAATCGAGCATGTCGAGTGCAGTATCCAGAACGCTTACGTTAAGATGATTGAAGATTCCGACCATTTCGTCTACATGGAGAACCAGTTCTTCATTACCAGCACCGAGGCATTTAACACGAAAATTGTCAACCGCATTGGCGATGCGCTTGTCGAACGCATCATCAGAGCTCACGAGAATGACGAGGATTGGAAGGCATGCATTGTCATTCCCCTCATGCCTGGCTTCCAAAACACTGTCGATGAACAAGAAGGCACCAGTGTTCGACTGATTCTGCAGTGTCAATATCGCAGTATCTGCCGCGGTGAATTTTCAATCTTCGAACGTCTTCGGGCTGCCGGTATCGAACCTGAAGAGTATATTCAGTTCTACAGTCTACGACAATGGGGCAAGATTGGCCCCAGAAATGCCTTGGTCACTGAACAACTTTACATTCACGCCAAATGCATCGTGGTAGATGATCGTGTCGCTCTTATTGGTTCCGCCAACATCAACGAGCGATCCATGCTTGGAAGTCGTGATTCCGAGCTTGCTGCCGTTGTCCGCGACACTGACATGATCTGGTCAACAATGGCTGGCAGACCCTACCAAGTTGGTCGGTTCGCACACACATTGCGACTCCGCCTGATGCGAGAGCATCTTGGCTTGGATGTGGACGAGATCCTGGAGGAAGAGAGACAGGCCGATATGGACCGTCAAGCCGAGTACGAGGCGGAGATGGATCAAATTTACGATGAAGACACGGAGTCGCCCCCTATCGCAGGGCCGAGTGTACCACAGGCAGCCAATAAGCCAACCAAGCCAGCAATGCATGGTCAGGCTGCAAGCTTCAATCATGATGCCGCAGAGGCGGGTGCGGCAGCCGAGGAAGCGTCGTCAGTATCTTCCTCAGACAAGGGCAAGGACCGTGACGACCGTGTGACTGGCAACGAAGCACACAAACTGGAAGTCGCCGGTTTTGGCAAAGACCACTGGAAGGAAGCAGCCCAACTTGGCCTTGATCGAGGACGAGACTCTATCATTATCAACGGCCGTGAGGTGCTTGTCAACAATGTGAATTCTGAAGGAAAAGGCACTTTGCAATCGCCGATGCAGCCTCACGAACGCAAGCCGTCGGCTGATCACCACGTGGAAGAGGAGGGCGGAGTCAGTAACGATGCTCTGCCACCGATACCAGCTCTTAACAGGCGAACTACGGACCAGCTCGGACTGCCTCGCACGGCTGGGCTTCCCACACTGCCTGCTGTGGACGATACTGATATTGGCGGACCCCCTGTTCACTTGGACCAGCACGGCCAGCCGACCAATGGGCCAGTTCACCCTCTGGCTGCTGACATCAGGCAAGCACACATTGATAAGGACTGCATGCGTGATCCGGTCAACTCAACCTTCTTTGACGACATCTGGAATAGGATCGCTGAGAATAATACGAAGCTGTACCGCCGCGTCTTCAGATGCATGCCCGATTCAGAAGTGCTCACATGGCCCGACTACCGAGAGGCTGTGTCCTACACTGAGAGGTTCAGACAGAGCATGGAAGGCCAAACCAAGGGAGATGATGGAGACCCCAACTCGAACCGTCACCAAACACCTGTCAGCGGAGGCGGCGCCGGTATGGGCGCGCCAGGCCCCGGCGCAATCGCGAGTGCTGTGGCTGATAAGACGGAGGAGAAGCTGCACCTTAAGACTAGCCACTCGAACCACCCTAGAATCGTCATTCCGGCGGATGACGATCACGACCTCAACGAGAAGAGCGAGCAGCCAGGCTCGCGAGGCGGGCTCAACCTCAACACAGACGTTGAAAAGGCGGCATCATCAAGACGCCCACTGGATGATCCATCGCCCATTCTTCCTGCTGGTGACGTTCCATTCCCAGCCTTTGAACCGGGCCCTGCTGCCGACGCCAACATGCTGGAACCAGCAAGAGAGAAGAGTAGGGAGAGAAGAACGACTTTCTCCCCTCTAGAGAAGCCGCCTTCGAGGGATGTGAGCATTCCAGCTCAACAGGCCCAAGGATCGGTTAGACGCCGCCGACGTGCCACTACTAAGGGCAGCCGGCGCGGCATGCCGCCCGAAGAGGTGCTCGGGAGGGCCGAAGCAGAGGAACTGCTCAGCATGATTCAGGGACACGTCGTCAACTTCCCATACGATTGGCTCCTGACCGAAGAACAAAACGGCAACTGGGGATTCCAGGTGGACGGTGTCGCGCCGCTCCAAATCTAGTAAGTCCCCTTAATCATCTTTGCGCGTGGCCAGTGCTAACATCCATTGCAGCAACTAGGTGTTACACACAGTTCAGAAAGGTCTCATGGACCTGCTGGATAAAGCCTCTCTGTATGGCTGAACCTTCATATGATACATCGATGCACAGGACGGAGTCAGGGAGGGGCATCTTGGCGTCGCGGGTACTTTCCCTGTATTGATTCTATTCGTATGGCTTCGGCCCTTGTTTTTACATGTATTGTACACATTGTTAAATTACAGCCTTTATTACACCTTTTCACTCACCCAGATGGCGCCTTTGCAACCCGCCCGAATCACGCCGGTGAGCAACCAGTGCGGCTCTGCCTTCTTGGCATCATGCTCGACAGCATGGTCCAAGTGCTCTAGTTCTTCATCGCGGATCCGCCGCAGCGTCTTGATGAGCTCGGTGAACTCAGGACCGACATCGTAGTCTTCAGCTTCCCACTCCGTAACCATCTCAATCAGAGTTCTGATTTGGTTGTTGTAGTGGTCGCCAATCTCCGTCTCTACGGCCTCTGTGCATGCCATGGCCGCCTCGCGACCCATCACTGCGGTGCTCCAGCCCAGCCCAGTGGACATGAGCTGCCACAGAGGGTACAGCGCAGTCGGTCGAACGCGATGCTTGTGGATGAGGGCGTTGAAGGTATTGAGGTGGCCCTCTTCTTGATCGTACATGTGTGCCATGAGAGGTCGAAGGTGTGGGTGTCGATTGACGATCGGTGGAGTCTGGGCTGTGTAGATTCGGGTGGCAGCCAATTCTCCGGCTTGGTTGACTCGAAGCTGGACAAAGTCAGTAGGTTTTCCTAGCTGGTATATAGGTGCACAACTCACTGCTGAGGACAAGAACTCCCGCTGCTCTTGAGTCAGGGGCTTTCGTCGGGGCTGCGCTCCTGCGCCTGTTGCTTCGGCCTGAGCATTGGAAGTGACGGATAGCTGTCTGCGCGAGATGCAAACACCCGGCGCATACGCATTTTGGGCTCCAATCCTTGCGATGCCGCAACAGGGCCTCAAAATCGATCTTGCTGAAGCCATTGTGTGATATTTGAAAGATGAACAAGCCCCTAAGGTACTCGGGGCACAAACTCGGCCGAAGGCAAATGGAAGATGTCAATGACATCGAACGACTAGACCCTGTGTATTTCGAAGCCTTTGTGAGTGTTGATTGGCTGAAGGGAGTCTAGATCGGATGGGCACAGGCCGATGCTCCGACTGCTCCACCCTTGTGCAGGGGAATGACATAATCTGGGCCAATCAGGCACGCGTTCGCAACGACACTGGCCCAAGGCTGTGAATAGGAGCCAGACTTTCGAGTTCTCATTCTAACACTTTACCACACCATCGCCAGCGACCATATACCGACCATTCACCTCTCTACACCAATCGACAAAGCAATATCGTTCTTCTGCGACCCAAAGTAATTGTATTTGTTTCTTGCATTGATAGCCAATTGCGTATACCGATCGATCGGTCTTGAATCACTTGATTCGCCCGGCGCAGCTGCCTGAAAGAGCTCCCTCCTATTCGAATACCCAACCGTAATCCGCCATGGCCGACATTGATGACGAGCTTTTGGCCCTCGCCGGAGGTGGCGAGTCCTCTGACGAGGAAGAGGAGGAGGTGATGTCTGAGGTGGAGAGTAGGGCGCAATCTGCGTCACCACCGCCCAAGGCGGCTGCCAAAAAGCCTGCAGCGAAAAAGGTGAAGAAGCGCGCTGGAGGAGGCGACTCAGAAGAAGAAGGAGAGGCGTAAGTTTATCCCGTTTCGTAATACACCTAGGCGCATTCCTACCTCGACACCTAGGGATTTCTCCAACCTTGCAGCTTCACCTTTGACGACTTGAATTCAACCTCGCATCTTGTTACCGCGCGCTATTCTAGCTCTACATTGCACTGCTTGCCATCCGCATCACTGACAATACGCCTCAGATCTTCAGCACCCGGTAGCCCCAACTCGATAGGATCCGCCGCCATGGACGAGTCCGATTCCGAGGCCGAGCCACACAGGGCCGGCCAAGACGATGACGAGGAGGATAAGTACCCGGTCGACGGCATGTTCAAGAGTCGCACCGAAAAGGAGATGGTTATGGCCATGCGCGAGGTCGAGAGAGAATCACTGCTCGCAGAGCGACAGGCCGAGATTGAGCGCCACAGACAGAATCGCATGCTGCGCCAGCTTGTCAGCAAGCAGGAGAATGAGGAGAAGAAGCAGAAGCTCAAGAAGCGCAGCGCCGATGCTGCCGACCTCGAGGACGAGTCGCGCACGACGACGCGGGCGCGCACTGACGGCAAGACGTCAGCGATAGATACGCTCCGCCGCGCGCGTGCGGAAAAGGTCGACCGCATACGTCGTCGCGAGGAGGAGCGCAAGGGACTCAGGTCGCCGCGCGACGACTACCAGGATGACAGCGATGAGGGAGGCGATTACGAAGAGAACCAACGCCGCCGGCATCGCAAATCACGATCGCCGGAAGACGAGATTGTCGCGCGCGAGCTGCCGCCTCCGGACATTCGGGATTTCGAGCGCATCCGCGTTGGAAAGAGTCGCTTCGCAGAGCACTGCTTCCACCCGAGCTTCGAGACGACCATGATTGGATGCTACGTGCGCATCAGTATTGGTCCTGACCCCAAGACGGGCCAGGACGAGTATCGCATGGCGCGCATTCAATGTCAGTCCGCCCCAAAGGTATTTCTGTTGAAAAGATGCTGACATTTTACAGCCATCACTGTCGGCAAGCCTTACGCCATGTCGGGTCCTAGTGGAACCTTTGTGACCGACCAGTACGTTCTGGCGGCTCATGGCAAGGCGGAGCGGCCATTCCCTTTCATCTTCCTGTCAGATCGGCCTTTTACCGAGGTGAGTTCACGCGTGATATGCTCTGGGCTAGAGGACATTAAGCTGACTGAAATAGCGTGAATACAACCGATACGAAAAGGTCATTCAGTCCGAAGGTCTGACGTTGCCCAAGAAGAAGACCCTCATGGACAAGATTGACGACATCAACGCGCTCATCGCGTACCATCTCTCCACCACCGAGATTGACGAGCGCATCCAGCGCAAGGCCGCGCTCCGCAAGAAGTTCGATCCCAAGCTGCGCGAGCGCCTTGCCCAAGACATCGAGGTTGCCCGCGCACAAGGGAACACCAGAAAGGCAGAGGACCTGCAAGAGCAGCTCGACGACCTCAAGACGAACGTGCTGGCCTTTAAGACGAGCCTTAGCGAGACTTCGTCCAAGCCCAGCGCGGCATCCCAGCAGGACCGGTTAGCTAACATCAACCGCCAACGCCGCTTGGAGAACGCCGAGAACGTTAGGAGAGCACAGCTCAAGGAGAAGGCCGAGGCGCGGAAGCTAGAGGCGGCGTTGGAGAGGGGCGAGGACATCAAGAACGATTTGTCACGGCGGCTGCGGACAAAGGCAAAGTTCATCCACGACGCCAACGACCAGGGCGGCAAGAAGGCAAAGGATAGCAACGCGAGTACACCCGCCAACGGCACACCCAAGATGGGTGCCCAGGAGAAGAACTTTTTGCCCAACTTGGTCAAGCTGCAGGCTGCGAACCAGGAGAAGAAGGGCATCCCGACGATTCACAAGCCGCTCATGGACGATGACATTATCGGGTCCCTGGATCTCGATATTGACATTGACATTGACTAAAGAAGTTACGTTTCGTGATGGGGAATATTTGCATGGCTGCGAGGGGGATTTGGCCGGGCTGAAAATTTGTGGTAGGTTGCGATAATAGTTGCTATAAGGGGGCACAATAGGCTCTACGCATACATCGGCCCGACATCATTAGGCACCTTTCCAGTGCAGTGGTCGTAGAGTAGAAACAAGCGTTCAGCAGGGAGAGTTCTCTGCGTGAGCGAAGCAATCGACGCGATAGAGCAGACAAGAATGAAACAGGCTGCGCGAGCATGCGTCGATATCATTGACTTTATGCCATTCACATACGTTTCTGGGACACACTACTCCAATGGCCGTATCCTGGACATGAGGCCCATTGATTCCCGTCCAAGTGAACCTGAAAGTAGAACGGGATACGCGGGACGCTACTGCAGACTCGCCCACCGCGGGGTCGGACTTAACCTCTCGCCCCGCACCGATGGTCTGATGCTCACTGCTAGGTGAGTTCTGAGCCTCTAAGCAGTTGGTCCTGCGGGGCAATGGATGCGCCAGCCCAGCGGCCTAGGTATGTTGTCCGCCCCGCGGGTCGCGGAAGCCATCCCAAATTCCCACCCCGGGTTAAGCTTGACCGCAGCGACCCCATCGGCGCGCATTGGGCTTCTGCACGTGGGGTCAAGCACGCCGGCACGACCACATTCGAATTGCTCCGAGGTACAGCACACCACCCCGCCAGCTACGTAAGGCGAGGCAGCTAGCTGTACGTTTTGTCTCACAATCTTTTGCTGAACAATGTTCGTCGTCGTCGTTGTTGTCGTCGTCTATACAAGCGCGCGTTCCTTTGACATTGATCAACGACGACCGCCCGCGGCTTTTACGGGGTTAAGTTATTGAGACCTGTAAAGCTCCCCGAATCCGTATGCGCTAGAGTATGCGACGACTATTTCTTTACGTCCATTAGTTCCATTAGTCTTTGCTTCTTCTTTCCCCCCCTCCCCCACCCAAGAGAATGTCATCGTTTCGTCGGTGAGTTCACGTAGACTCATTATTCTCTACTCCCCCCTTCCCTCGGCGCATATCTTTGTGCCTAATACTATTCGGACACTATACTCATAGACCACCATCTCGTTGGATAGGAGAGAGTGCTTCACACCAAGACTGAGCCGCTAGCGATAGACGCAAACCCCAGATATTATAGAATCTAGATGCGACAACGAGGACATCAAGCAGCAGCGGCAATGACTCCAGAAACAAAACCCCTCCTTGGGGACGAGTCTCCCAGCCCGCCAGGTACAATCTACCTTTCTCTTCCCTACTAACTCACTGTTCCCTCCCAAGGTTCCAATGGCTAACAAAAGCCCCAACAACGCAGCTAATTTTACATCCGCCCTCCCACTCACCACCACCACCACTACCACTACCACTACCAACAAGGCCACCCCAGCCCGCCTACCACAAGCAATAGCCCACCGCGGCTTCAAAGCCCAATACCCCGAAAACACCATCCTCGCCTTCCGCGCCGCGCTTGACGAGGCGGGCGCCCACGCCCTCGAGACGGACCTGCACCTCTCGCGCGACGGCGTCGTCGTGCTCTCCCACGACGGAAACCTGAAGCGGTGTTTTGGAATCGAGGATACGAAAATCAACGAGTGCGATTGGGATTACCTTAAAACGCTTGAGACGGTGAGGGAGCCGAGGCAGAGGATGCCGAGGTTGGAGGATCTGTTGGGGTTGCTTTCGGAGGTCGGGAGAGAGGGGGTTTGGGTTTTGCTTGATATCAAGGTATGGATGGCTTTCCTGGTGTTTTGGAGGGTCGTGTTTGTGAGTTGGGTGTTGGTTTGGGAGATGGAGAGAAGGGGGGAATTTGAAGAAAGGGGAAGGGACCTTGGAGAGCTTCGAAGAGGGGGGCGAAGGGTGCTTGGAAACGAAGATGAAGAGCTGACGTTGACGAATGTGTACAGACCGACGACCCCCCAGCAGAACTCCTCGGCCGCGTAGCCGACGTCCTAGCTTCCACGCCGGGCCCCGTACCATGGAACGAGAGGATAGTGTTCGGATGCTGGAACGTAAGTTCCCCCTCTCCCTCTGTCTCACCAGTCCTCATCACAGCTCTGTCTCTCATAAAGCAAAACGGGTACTAACACAAAGCATCAAGCAACCCTACATAACCCACGTCCGCACAATCCTCCCAACCTACCCAATCTCCCTCATCTCCTGGTCCCCCCTCTACGCCCGCAACTTCCTCACGCCGAAACAGCCAAATCTCTCCTTCAACATGTTTCAAAAGTCCCTCGTCGGGCCCGTCGGCAAGCTGTTCATCCGGGACGTGAAGAAACATAACAGACAGCTGTTTGTCTGGACGGTGAATGACGAGGAGTGGATGGAGTGGAGTATTCGTGCCGCTGTGGACGGAGTGATTACGGATGATCCGGAGTTGTTTCGGGAGGTTTGTCGACGGTGGGAGGGGAAGGGGCGCGCTGCTTCCGCGTCTGCTTCTACGTCTGCGTCTGCGTCGGCTTCGAGAGAGCATGGTGCGATTGCGCTTACAGACGAGGAGGACGAAAAGGCGAGGGTCGCTAGACGGACGGGCCGGGTCCGGGACGGGACGTGGAAGAGGACTGCGAGGTTGTATCTCGAGGTTGCGGGGATACAGGTCCTCGTGGCTGTGTTTACGCCTATTCTGATGCTTGTTGCGCGGTTCGGGGTCGTGGGACCGGGGCCCAAGGCTGCCAAGGCGTTGAAGTTGTGAGATGGAGGGATGGTAGGTTTGATACGATTTGTTGTCTATGGTGTTAAGATTTGTTCTAGAAATATGATCTAGGGGGGGGGGGGGCAGATAGAGATTGCGGAAGAGTAGAGAATGGCCTAGGAGGAGTGCACTCAGAGGTAGCGCAGGGCGTGGTTGGTTAGAGAGCAGAGTCCAGTTGGATGATGGTTATGATGGAAGTCTAATGAAAGTTTGCCTCAACAGTGAATAGCGAGTGGGAGAGGGAGCAACAGAGATGGCACTAATTACCTATCCCGAGGTGAGATAAAGCGCCAGGTAAAGGACTGTAGAAGATTATAGAGCTCAACAATGTTAAACGTACAAATAAAGATATTCCTCTACGCAGCGGTCTTACGAATAATTTGCAATATTACACTGGCATGGTAGCTGAGTCGAGTGTGCCCAAGCATTGCGAAGCATCCGAAGATGGAACCAAAAAGCAACGAGAGATTCAAAGCCCGCTGAAGATAGGGATATGTTTATACTTTGAGTTAGCAGTGAAGGAGACCAAGCCTGGGCAAGCTCTTTCTGTATAATATCCGGGATGGGAGAAGAGAACGCGTAACACCTCGTCCTGTCTCATTGACAGAGAAGCTTCGGGAACGGTGAGAACATCCAGTCGTGAGATAATCACAATGTGCAAATGCCAATCAATAATCTTGCAAACAGGGAGTTCCTTCGGAATAACAAGAGATCGTCAATATTCATGTCCCAGAGCTTGCTAAATTTACCATTTCCCAATCCCATCTGACCGTTCAGATATGTAAAACCCCTCTCATGAAACATCCCATACCCATCAAAAAGCCCTCGCTGTTTAAACACTCAAGTCACACCGTCAAGTAGCCTTCCGCCTCAAAGCCCGTAATTCCCATCAAGCCCATCCAAAAATAACCCGTCACTATTCCCATTCCCGCTACAAGACGCGAGCAACGCGTTCCGGTACTCCAAACTACTAACGCTCAGATTCAAATCACTCGTAGCCAGGTCCTCGCCCGACGAAAGACTCTCCTCGCTAACGCTTAACACACTCTGCGGTGGCGCCGGGTTCGTTCCAAAGTCACCAATGTTGAAGTTGGCCAGGTCCCAGCTATCAGGACTCCAGCTGTCGAGCCCTGTCGACGATGACGCGGGTGTCTCTCCGATGTTGGGAATGGCGCCGCCACCGCCGCCGTAGATGGCGTCGTAGACATTGTTCAGACCACCATCCATGGAGCCGAGGAGGGCCTCCCATTCAGAGGATGATACGCCGGACACCTTTTGGGGCTGCTGTTGCTGATGTTGTTGTTGCTGCTGCTGCTGTTGCTGTGCGTAGAGACTCTGATGCGCCGCGGCAAGGATGTGTTGGTGTAAACGGGCTGTGGTTGGTGACGGAGGCGACGAGCCGTTTGGTGTGCTATTCAAAGACAGATAGTCGAGGTTCTGCTTGGAGGACATGCGGATGCGGCTGGTTATTTGTGACATAGAGAGACGCTGGTCTCGCCGCGCAGGCATGTCTTGCTGCTGCTGTTGCAAGTTGTCAAATGAAGGCTTAGAGCGGGACCGGTACAGCTCTGGGCGGTTCTGGATACTGGGCATGGTCATGCGGCGCATCTTCTCCTGCTGCTGGATGAGATCGCTCTCACTGGCGGCGGCGCTCGGAAGACGGCCTAGAGTCCGTTGAGGAGACTTCTTCTTGGCAGCTGGCGCAGGCGGCGAAGACTTCTGCGGCGCGGGCATAGACGCGGATGCTTCAGGAGTCTCTTGTGGTGGAGAGGGCAGGTTCTGCTCGTCGAGTCGAATGAGGAGGCCGGCTACACGCTTGAGATCAAAGGAGCCAGGTGCCTTGGCCTTTGTGAGAATATGGAGGACGCTGTTGACGAGGCGCTCAACATCCTTCAGCATCTTGCTCTCTGGCTTGAGCTCGAAGCTCTGATACATGAGAGTCATGCCGCAGAGGACGAGTGTATCCGTCTTGTTGAGACAGAAGGAGAAGGTCATGCTGCGCTCCTCAAGAAGCTGCACAATCTGAACAAGGTGCTTGCTGGACTCGCCAATTGAGATCAATGCAGGCGCGGCCTTGCGACCGAGTGAGGAGCCTACAGCAGGGCGGAAGATGAGAATCTTGGTGTAGTAGTAGGCAAGAGCAAGCAATGGCGACCGGCTTCCAGTTACATCAGTCGAAGGCTTGTCTTGCTTGAAGGTAAGCTTGAGATGTGTCGGGAGTGACTCGTTCCACTCGTCGAGCTCGGCCTCCATGGCAGACATTGACTGCAGCGATAGTTCGTGAGAAGTGGCAGCCGGGTAGTTCTTTTCCATCACCTTGGCCAGGATTCGGCAGCAGCGGAAAAGCGCGAGCGCGCTCGACAAGCGGGTATATTCGCCAGGGAGCGTCGGCTGGAAGCCCTTCTCCGTCACGTACTCGTCATCTGTGTCTGAAGGATACTCGGTGTGGATCTCATCCTCCTTGAGCAGTTTCGGCAGTCCAAGAATGGCACCAGAGAAGCTATAGCCGTTAGTCGAAGCCTCTTCTTGATCTTCAGGTAAATACACTCACCAATCCAATGTGTACAGAGTCCAGAAGACCTTCTTGCGGGTCTCGATAGTGAGCGCGCCAAAAGAGAAGCGCTTCTGGCTCTGATGAAGGCCGAGGCGGTGGGACAACCCCACAGCAATGCCCTTGTAGTGTTGCAAGCGCTTGTAATCCGCCCTCACGATGCAGTACAAGAGAGCCAACTCGAGACATTGCAGGGTCACCATTGTGTTCTCCATGAGAACGGCCTCGACAGCTCGCTGCCATTGTTGCTCACACGCCGCGATCTGCTCGAGATCGGGCTGGTCGCTACCAAGTGCCGCGATGCCAAAGACGAGATATAACTGGGCAATTTTGTGGTTATTCTTAACTTTTTCCGGGTCTGATACGAACTCCTCATAGATGTGTAGGAACGTCGGCTTGTGCAATACGGGGAATAATGGTGCCCATTCTTGGAAGTAGACATTGACGCAGCGGTCTGAGAACAAACGCGGCGGCACTTTAAGCGACTGATCGGGTGTTTTTGGTGTCAAAGGATGGCACCCCTGAATATGCAGAAACGCTTCCGGGTTGAAATCTGAGCACGACTTGCCATTTTCTTGCATCTTGCGCTTGAAAGCCTCTGTATTCCATGTTAGCCCAAAAGCCCGTTATTCTCATATCTGCATCGCTCGGACCGCCTCTCCGGGAGGCGGGACGAACGGGTAGGCGCATGGGAAGGGCGGTACGAACCGATAAAGGCACGGCCGCTGGAAGGGCCCATAAAGTACGAATCCGAATTCTCGACGCCGAGTAACAACGGCGACGCCTGCACGCGGAAAGTATCTTCCTTGGCCGGCACCCCAGCGTCTTTTCTTCCGTCCGATGCCGACGCCGGTGACTGCGCTGATGCCGCGACGGAAGGGCTGCGCATGGTCGTGTGGCTGTGGTTCCCGTGCATCCTCGACAACATGTCAATCTTTTCGTCCTTCTCGTCCAACAAGTCCTTCAGCTCCCTAACTTCGGTTTCCAGCTGGCGCACGCGCTCCTCGAGAGACTCTGTGTAGCCACGGGGGAATGCGCGACGGCTCAGCTTGTCGCTGGTGCGGCACTCGAAGCCAACGTTGGAGCATTGCGAGCACGTCGGCCTGATCCCGTCGCAACGAATCTTCTTGCTCCGGCACCGGTCGCATGCCTGTGCTATGCGGCTTTGCGAGCTGGTGCCCACCTTGATTACCTTCATGGGTAATATTCCAGGCATGGTGGCGGTTTTCCCTTTCTACGTTTGGATATTCCTTTCTGGTGGTTTGTCCAGCGATTGGCAATTCAAGACGGATGACTGGCGTTGACTAGGTCAGCCTCGGAGGCTTCGGCGGTGGCTTTTTTCTGTTCTTTGAATTCGTCGTTGGTCGGCTCGTTTTGAGTATTTTGGACGGGCGCGCGGCAGGTTCAAAATTCGTATACAGCTGAATCACAGGTCTTCTCCAGAGTGATCACCGGGTGCTTTCGTAAATCGTTGTCGACGTTGGGGGTTGTTGCAGGTAGGTGGTATTTTCAGTGACTAAGAAAGCAGGTCCGCGAGAACACAAATCTTCTCAAACGAGATGGCAAAGATGGCAACAGAAACAAGAAAAGGAGAAGAGTGGAGATTTTGTCTGGTCTACAACTCGGAAGCGGCGGGTGAGCAGTACCTAGAATAGGTAGACTGAGTTGCAAGGTCGAAAAAGAAGAAGAGCAATAGAGATGCTGGGTCGGAGGGCGGAGTCGGGGGTGTGTGTGAGGGAAAAAGGGAAAGAAGAAGTGGAAGATGGTCGTGGGGGAGAGGGAGGTGAGACGGTGGAGTCTCTTAGTAGCAAAAAGGACACTACGACTGCTGGACGCAGGACACCACACCGAAAGGATTTGCTGCTAGGAACGCGGTACAAGATGAATCGTGGGGAGATGGGGACGGTACCTGCTAAGGTACGCTAGGCTATAAGTACAGTACCACCTACCTAGAACAAGACATGAAGACCCCGTGGACGATGGGCGGGACCGGGGGTGGGCTTCAAAGCTAAGGTACCTAGAAACAGCTAATTCGTTTCCTCACTGGAATGCCCCAGAATTGGTGGGCTGCCTGTCTTCGTTTACTTACACTGAGGTACCTTGCTGCTCCTGCTCGGTTCTGGCTAAGGTACCGTTGTTGAGAGAAAGTACCTTAGGTATTGGTGGGCCCCGGGCCGGCTCTCGCACTGGATAATCTGCATCACTGACCAATACTGTGTAAGCGAAGGGCCCTTGAAGGGAGAGAAATCTGGGGGAAGAGCAGCCCGGGGTCTGCCGGGCGGCCCTCGCGCCGGCGCTGGTGTTAAGGGAAAGTTGGGGTGAGCCTGGAAGTGAGAAACCACCTACGGAGTACACGCTAATAAGAGTGAGGGGGAACCAATCACCAACTAGCAATTGGATACCACCTTGCTTGCTTGAGTGTAAAGTGAAGTACGAGTACTTCGCTTCTCTGGTCAACTCGCATCTTCTCCGAAGTACCTTTCCTCATTTGGTCACTTACGTGTGGTAGGCACCGTACCCAGCCAGGTAGCACTCGATGACTGACAAGATCTCAACTCCAGAAACAGGCGCCAGCGAGA